AATGGCACATCCCTGTAACCCTAGCACCTGGGATTACAGAAAAATTAGGAGTTCAAGTTCTTGAACTTGACTACATAGTGAGTTCAAGAGCAGCCTGGGCTACACAAGACCCAAACGAACAAAAAGAACATGATTTTTTTTCTGTCTGTGAAGCCTTCTCTGGAGAGAGGCCCTTGAGCAACGTGGCAATGTGACCCCTGTCGTGACCAACCAATAGACCAAAGAAGACAAGGGCAAAGGAAAAAGTGATGCATGTGAACATCCAGTACGAGACAGTTTGGGTGTAGAGATGGCTATGGTGGGGGAGGAGAAGCAGAGGCCAAGGATGTGTGCACAAGACTTACCCATGGGGCCATTCAAGACAGAAAGAACACAGGATGACTCTAAGGATTTCCACCCATGTAGCTGGGAAAGTCAGCTGGTTATTTCATCAGAGTCGGGACACTGCAAGGTGCAGGGGTCCAGGACACCTGGAAGCCTAGTTTGGGTTTTGACGTTGAGGCACCAGCTAGGTATCCAAATAAGGGCAAGGGCTGATAGGAATGGATTTGGACTCACTGACAGATGAATTTCAGACACTCTGGTGACTGTTGACATACCTCCCCCGCCGCCAGCAAGCCCAGATTGACACTTGGCAAGGACTTGGTGAATTAAAACATTTATTATTACTATTCTGTATATGATGCATGTGTCAGTATTTGTGTTATGGTGCGTGTGTGGAGGTCAGAGACAGCTATGCAGATTTCCACTTTTCCTTTCGTTCCACCTTTACATGGGTTCTGGGTTCTGGGGATTGAACTTGGGTCCTTAGGCTAACTTGGAAGCACCTTTATCTGCTGAGCCATCTTGCTGACTCCCATTTGCTGACTCTTACTGGTGGATAGACGTTGTTGATTGACACAGTTTTTTATCACGTCACCTGTGGGACACTTTTCAAACAATCCTGTCTTCTCTATCCCAGCCTCTCAACCAGAAGAGACCACTCCAGCCACTGAGCCCCGCCTGGAGCCACGCCTGGAGGAGCTGACAGTGACAGGTGTGACCCCCAATTCTGTGAGCCTCTCCTGGACAGTTCCTGAGGGACAGTTTGATTCCTTCACGGTTCAGTACAAGGACAAGGACGGGCAGCCCCAGGAGGTGCCTGTGGCTGCAGACCAACGTGAGGTCACCATCCCTGACCTGGAGCCTTCAAGAAAATACAAGATGAACTTCTATGGGCTACATGGCAGACAACGTGTGGGTCCCCTTTCTGTGGTAGCCATGACAGGTAAGTGAGGGCCAGGCGGTCTCTGTCCCTGCTGACTCACAGCTCTTCCTCTCTGTCCCTGCTGACTCACAGCTCTTCCTCAAGACCCTTGTCCCAGCTTTTCCCTCACTCATCAGACTGTGTCCCTACAGGTCCCTTCCCAGACTCACAGATAGCTTAGCTTGGCTCTTCCCCAGGGCTGGAACTTTCCCCCCTCAGTGGCTTCCTCATCTGAACTCCACCCCTGACCCTGACAGAATGTTGTCCTTCCATTTGGCCTCCATCATCTCCCTCAGTCTTTCTCTCTCTCTCTCTCTCTCTCTCTCTCTCTCTCTCTCTCTCTCTCTCTTTCCAGCTGTTTCCTTCCCTTCTCTTTACAACCCTGCTGTGGCTTGGACACAGCAGCTGTCTCTAGCTTCTGCCCTTCTTCATTGGGGTTAAGCAACACCCATCTCTGAACTGCTTCTCAGACGGCCTGGCTGACGCTCTGAGTCCTGTTTCCCTCTGATCCAATCCAACTTCAGCCCTCAAGGAGGCCAGCCCTCCCTCAGCTCCTGGCTCCCCTCCCTCTCATGACTCCTGGACATTGACTTGTCATGACTTGTATGCCAAGGCATCTGGTGAAACCCCTATTCTCTCTCAGGGCATCTAGAGAGATCTCTAGAGAGATCTATTAACATCTAGAAAATAAAATGCATATGTTACAAAGGACGCTGATCATATTGACATAGTCAGCATTCCAGATCTGCAGGTTTCCCAAGTGACTGGAGACCATATATGGAGCCCTGAATTTGTTTATTTTTGTGTGTACACATATGTGTGAAGTTTAGAAAACAACTTGCAGGAGTCCTCCCCTTCTACATGTGGTCCAGAGGCACAAACTCAGGTTGTCAGTCTTGGCAGCAAGTGCCTTTACGTTCTGAGCCATCTCACCAGGCCCCATCTTGCCAGCCCCAGAAAAAAACAATATTTTTAATGTCCCTTCTCAAAGCAAGGGGGATGGCTCAGTTGATAAAGTGCTTGCTATGCAAGCATGAGGACTCAGGTTCAGATCCCAAGAACACGTAAAAAGCTGGGCATGGTGGTGCTCACTTGTAATCCCTGCACCAGGGAGGCAGATAGGAAGATTCTTGGGGCTTGAGACCCTGTCTTAGAATAAACAAGGGGACAGCTCCTGAGGAACAACACCTACCAGTGCCCGCTAGTCTTCCATGCACACACACCCAAGCACAAGCACCTGCACTGCATGAATACACACACACACACACACACACACACACACATCATGTCTGTATGGAACAGGTGCAGGTCTTTTTTACTTGTCATAAACAACATAGATATTGCCGAGCATGGCGGTGGACATCTTTAATGCCAGCATTCAGGAGCCAGAAGCAGGCAAGTGTCTACTGAGTTTAAGGCAAGCTGATCTACATAGTGAGTTCCAGAACAGCCAGGACTGCATAATGAGACAAAACAAACAAAACAAACAAAAACCAAAACAAATACAGTTATCGGCTATAACATTTACATTGCCGTAGGTAAGTAACCTAAAGATAGTCTAAACTTCTCAGGAAGATGCAGACACTTCCATCTTACGCAAAGGACTTGAGCATTCTAGGATTTGGGGCGTCACAGAATCAGTCTTGTGGATACTAAGAGACCAGCATGCCATTGTAAAGACATTTAACATGCTGAGTTAGGACGAGGCAATACCTAGACTTCTTTGCCAACTTGTTACTAAGGGATAATGAATGCAAACAAGGTTTTGACATTTCTGAGATAACAGGTCTTTCTGTGGTGACAGAGTCACTAGTGCGATGACATCACAGTGATGGCATCCCATAGTGACCATGGAAGATCAGGCTATTACAGGCCCCTAAAGAAGAAGCTCTTCCCCACCTTAGCTCCAGCCCCCGAGACCTGCAGAGCCAGGTGTCTCCTCAGGGATCTCAGTTGTGCTCTGTCTTCTCTCCCTAGACCCCCTCCCACCAGCTCCAGTACCAACTGCCAAGTTCTCCCTGGAGCCACACCTGGGGGCACTGACAGTGACATCTGTGAGCCCAGACTCTGTGGACCTCTCGTGGACTGTCCCTGAGGGTGAATTCGACTCCTTTGTGGTCCAGTACAAGGACAGGGATGGGCAGCCCCAGGTGGTGCCGGCCGCAGCAGACCAGCGTGAGGTGACCGTCCCAGGCCTGGAGGCCAATAGGAAATACAAGTTCCTGCTCTTCGGGATCCAGGATGGGAAACGACGTATCCCAGTCTCTGTGGAGGCAAAGACAGGTGAGGGCTACCCTAGGCCTAAGTTGAGACCCCGCCTGAGGCCTTAGCCTGTCCCAAGTTGTTTGAACTCTTTTCTGGCCTCCTCTTCTTCGTGCCTGTCCCAGCCCACAGCAAGCATGGACCGGGAGGTGGGCCTGTCCTTGCCTCTATTCACCCTGTTGGCATTTCCTCTCACCTTGTTTGTCCTCCTCTGACGTGGGGGCACCTCCCACCCCCACCCCCATGGAAGAAGAACCTGAGGGTTTTGCCTCCAATTAATGCCCAGGCTTCTAGCCCTCTGGCCTCCCATCTACACCTGCTAGAGGCTCTCCTTCTTCTTCAGCCCTCCTGGAGCCTTGGAAATTGGGAGCCAGAGGAGTCCTACCCAGCTGGGCCCTTTCGCAGGGTTCGGTCCAGGCCCTCCTCTGCCCCTAGGGGCTCCCCGTTGCCAGAGGCCTCTTGCAATAACAATGCCGTCAGTGGCTTTACTGTCCAGGAGGGCGGCAGGCCAGCCCCTTCCCAGGCCCTAATGGCTCCTTTGGCAGCCATGGGATTCCCTTCTCTGTCAGAGTTCCCCCATGTCACCCCTCCACCAGCCCCCACAACACACATTGTGCAGGCAGCCCCAGGCCCCCTCCGAGCTCTGCGGAGTCAGTGTTCTGCATCTAGCTGCTGTGCAGAGAAAGGAGCAGGAAGCTAGGCAAGACCAACCCCCATCGCATCCTGCTTGCCCCGCCCCCCCAGTCTCTGCACCCTAGCAATTCCCCAGGGGCCAGTGAGGTCACTCAGGGACTTCTGGGTAGAAAGAAACAGAGACGAAGGTCACTGTAAACTGTGCCCCGTGGAGAGAAGCCTCTAGGAAATCAGAGGAGCCTGGTCAACAAGAAGGGCAAAATGAGGAGGGAAGTTAGGAAGTCCCTTGACGGGAGTGACTCAGGACAGAAGACCTGTCCCCACACGGTCAAGTGGAGGAGGCTCTGGCCAGATGGAGATGGACAGGACAGGAGGGTGATGGAAATATCTGGGGAAACATTGACCACTTGGGCCATTCTGGGTTTTTCCAAACCTAGTGGGAGGTGATCAGAGAATCACTTAGGAAAAAATAAACACAAGAAACTTTCCTCTCCATCAGCCACCGGACATGACGCCAGCTCAGTGGCTCCTCCCCGCCTTGGGGAGCTATGGGTGACAGATCCCACCATGGATTCTCTGCGCTTGACCTGGACCGTCCCTGAGGGCCACTTTGACTCTTTTGTGGTCCAGTACAAAGACAGAGATGGGCAAACCCAACTGGTGCCTGTGGAGGGCCATGAGCGCTCAGCCGTTATCATGCCCCTGGATGCAGGCCACAAATACAGATTCCTCCTCTATGGACTCCTGGGCAAGAAGCGTTTCCGCCCCCTCACTGCAGATGGCGCCACGGGTGAGGACCTCCCCTGGCAGGGCCCTGCCCTGCTGCTCCGAGACCCAGGGCAGCAGGCCATGCCTGTGGTAGCACCCACCCCCACCCACAGTGTCCACACAGTTCTGTCTCCAGGCCTCTCTGACCTGCCCTTTAATGTCACAAGCCTTCCTTCTGCAGCTCAGTCATTTCTTGCCTGTGTCTCCATCTCAGAGTCCATGAATGAAGTGGACCACACGGAACTAAAGCATCCTCCGAAACCGCGACTGGGAGAGGAGCTGCAGGTGACCAGCGTGACCCAAGACTCCGTGGACCTCTCCTGGACCGTCCCTGAGGGCCAATTTGACTCCTTCACAGTCCAGTACAAAGACAGAAATGGGCAGTCCCAGCTGGTGCCTGTGGAGGGCAACCGTAGGGAGGTCAGCATCTTGGGCCTAGACCCTGCCCGAAGGTACAAGCTGCTGCTCTACGGCCTGTACAAAAGCAAGCGAGTGGGTCCCCTCTCTGTCATCGCTGTGACTGGTGAGTATGAGGTGGCCCAAACACACTGAGCCTCCTTCCTACCCAGTCCCCATCTAACATTCCCATTACCCTTCTTTTTCGGAAGGGACCAGCTTCACTGAAGCATAACTTAACATCCAGTACTGAGCAATGGCAAATGTGTAAGTCACGCAACCATGACCATAATAGGGAGGTGCAAAACAGCTCCGTCACCCCCGTGTCCCCTGAGTTTTTAGGGCTCTGGCAGCCGTTACAAACCAGGCTCAGCCCCCTACCCTCAGTAAGCCAATTCAACACACAAATAATAGTGAAAAGCAGAGAAAGATTTGTTCAATGTGGCCACACTGGGAAGAGGAACAAAGAGGTCCAGTGAGCTGCCAAGTCCATTTTTGGAGGCCTGGCACGAAGTTTAGATTTAAACAGAGGGCCAGAGGTACGTGTAGCTAAGCAGTCTGTCAAGGCATGGTCCCACCCATCATGGGCCCATCGCTGTCTCAGTGTCAGTCTCTCCTGCATGGTGGTCTGACAAGCTGTTGGAATTGTGCGAAACCCCTTTCTGGAAGACAAGTGCCTCCCCTGTCCCATCCCATCCCGCTGGCTGGTACCAGGCTTCAGCCTTCTCCCGGCTTGAGATCCCTGGGGAATTTCAGTTTCTTGGCCTGCATTGTCTCAGTGGTCTGATAGCCCAAGGGAGGCATAAGTTCTCTTTAAGGTGCCATCTTCCTGCCAGGAGGTCACACGTCCCCACTGTGCTCAGCTCCTGGGCCCTGGCAGCCAGTGCCTACTTCTGCCCTGGCTTCGCCTCTGTCTCATTTCAGTCGTGCAACCTGTCGCGTGTCGTGCCCCTCTGCCTTTGTCCTTGATGCTCCTATTGCTGATCTCCACCTTCACCTCCCTCCCTCCCTCCCTCCTCCCTCCTCCCTCTCTCCTTCACCTCTTCAAAGTATCTGTTCAGCAACAGACCAGTCACCCATCTCTACCTGTCTCTCTGAACCAGCCCCTAAAGAGCAACCTGAAGCTTGGACGGAGGCCCCCACTTCTCCTGCGGTTGTGCCCCGCCTCAGGGAGCTGACAGTGGAGGAGGCCACGCCACACAGCTTGCATCTCTCCTGGCTGGTGACTGAGGGAGAATTTGACTCCTTTGAGGTCCAGTACACAGACAGAGATGGACAACTCCAAGTGGTCAGCACAGGGGGCAACCACAGTGACATCACGCTCACTGGCCTGGAGTCTGACCACAGATACCTGGTGACCCTGTATGGTTTCCATGATGGACAGCGTGTAGGTCCTGCTCAAATTGAGGCCCTGACAGGTGAGTGAGAGGAACTCCTGCACTCTTAACCTTCCAAACAGCCAGGAGGGTTCAAAGGCCAGCCAAGTCCTAATGGTCACCACCTCTCCATGTTCAGTGCCCTGGGAGGAAGAGGATGAACCCTCAGAACCGCCTACCACGACCCCGGAGCCTCCCCCCAAACCCCTCCTGGGAGAGCTGACAGTAATGGACACCACTTCTGACTCCCTGAGCTTGTCCTGGACGGTCCCAGAGGGACAGTTTGACCATTTCCTGGTCCAGTACAAGAACGGGGATGGACAGCCTAAGGCGTTGCGGGTACCAGGGCACGAAGACCAGGTCACCATCTCTGGCCTGGAGCCAGACCACAAGTACAAGATGAACCTCTATGGCTTCCACAGTGGTCAGCGTGTGGGCCCCGTGTCTGCTGTCGGGGTGACAGGTGAGTGGATGCAGGAGCTTCAGGGTGGGACCCACTGGGAGGTGATTCTCAGTCCAGTGACTGAGTAGGAATCGGTGGCCAGGACTGGTCAGTACCTCAGACCTGCTATGGCCAAAAGTACAGTCTGGGAGTCTTCCCTTGGGGCTGGCCTATCTCCATGGGTAGGAGGCTCCATAGAGACCTTGGCTATGCTCGTGACTGCCCACATTTCATCAGTCAACCCCAGGAGCTTGAGCCTGTTCAAAAGCCATCAGCCGAGCAGGGTCACCAGGTCCCAAGGCAGTCTTATCTGAACTGACCTCAGGACCCCTCAGTAGCCATGGCTTCTCCCCAACCCCCAAGGACATCTGCTGGGTCCCTGCCTCACCTTCTGTGTCCCCTTCTCAGCTGCAGAGGAAGAGACCCCCAGCCCCACAGAGCCCAGCACGGAGGCCCCGGAGCCCCCTGAAGAACCGCTCCTGGGAGAGCTGACAGTGACAGGATCCTCCCCAGACTCCCTGAGCCTCTCCTGGACCGTCCCCCAGGGCGAGTTTGACTCCTTCACTGTCCAGTACAAGGACAGGGATGGGCGGCCCCAGGTGGTGCGTGTCGGGGGCCAGGAGAGGGAGGCCACAGTGAGGGACCTGGAGCCTGGAAGGAAGTACAAGATGAACCTGTATGGGCTCCGTGAGGGGCAGCGTGTGGGCCCCGTTTCCACCGTGGGTGTGACTGGTGAGTACGAGTAAAGGGCCTCTGCTTCTCAGGAAGTCCAACCTCCACTGTGCCTTATAACAGAGACTCAGGACCCCAAAACCCCCAGGTTCTAACCGATCCCCACCCTCCAGTGCCTCCGCTCAGATGGGATCTGGAGTGAGGAAAGCCAATCCAAGATAAGGGCAGGCCTGGAGGGGTCCCTGGGTGCTGAGGCCTCTGAAGTGTATTTCTGGCGTTATGCTTTTTCCACAGGCTCTAGAAAGAACTCTGTGTGGGACTGGGGCAAATTCCATAAAATATCAACTAATTCCTTATACAAATATTTGAGAAATTTTCAGGGCTGGGTGTAGTGGTGCATGCCCTTAATCCCAACACTCAGGAGACAGAGGCAGGTGAACCTTTGTGAGATGGAGGCCAGCCTGGTCTACATAGTGAGTTCCAGGACAGCTGGGGCTACAGGGAGACCCTGTCTCAAAAAGAGAAAGGAAAAGGCGGGCGGGGGGGCACTTTTCAAAGACACACACACAAAGGATGCATATAATAAAGTCTGTGTATTCATGGTGGCGCGGCCAAGCTGGACTCTGGCCCATCTGTGTCCTTCCTTCTCCCAACCTCCCCTGAAGGAAATTTTATTAGTGGCTATACCCCCACCACACCCCAGTTGGCTAAAACTCCAATTCAATGGTTCTATTTTTTAAAAAGATTTATTCATTTTATTTTATGTGTGAATATTTTACCTGCATGTATGTAAGTGTATCACATGCCTGCCTTGTGCCCGTGGAGGCCCTGGAACTAGAGTTACAAATTGTGAGCTGCCAAGTAGATGCTGGGAACCAATGTGGTGGTCTCAAGACTCCCAAGTGCGGTTAACCGCTAAGCATTCTCTCCAGCCCCTATTGACTGCATTTTGATATAATTTGCGTGTCATAAAATTCAAGTGTACTAGTTGTACTACTTAGCCACATACCTCACTCACTTATCATGCAGCTACCACCACAGTCTAATTTCGGAACTTCGTGTCATCCTCAAAAAAAGCCTTGCGCCGGGCGTGGTGGCACACGCCTTTAATCCCAGCACTCGGGAGGCAGAGGCAGACAGATCTCTGTGAGTTCAAGGCCAGCCTGGTCTACATAGTGAGTTCCAGGCCAGCTGTGGCTACAGGGAGACCCTGTCACAAAAAGACCAAAAAAATAAATAAAAAATAAAAAAGCCTTGGAACCAGGAGTGGTGGCCCATGCCGTCAATCCCAGCATTTAGGAGGCCAAAAGGCAGGTGGATCTCGGTGAGAACAAGGCCAGCCTGGTCTTCTACATAGTCGTTCAAAGCCCAGCTGTGGCTACAGGGAGACCCTGTCCCCCCCACTCCCACCCTCCCCGAAAAACAAAAAAAGACAAAAATAAAAGCCTTGGTTTGAGCTGGCTATGGTGATGCACTCCTAGGATTACAGAATCCTAGCCCTTGGGAGGCAGAGGCAGGAGGATCAGGAACTTGTCCTCGGCTGCATTGCTCCAACTCAAGGTCAACCTGGGTTATGTGAGACCCTGTCAAAAAAAAAAAAAAAACCTTAAAGGAAGTGCGGGTATGCAACATGCAAAGACCCTGAGATATAAGGTGGCCCAGCACGTCTGAGGTCCCCAAGGAGACCACAGAAAGGTTTCAGTGATCACAAACAGAGCATAGGTAGGCCCAGATGCAGCCTGCCTTCTGACACATACCCAAGAGAATTGCAACTGCAGAGCCCCTTCCAGAAATAGGAAAGATTCTGTTTCCATCTCTTCCAGTCCCTGAAGAGGAGCCCACGGAAACCCCGCCTCTGAAGCCACGACTCGGGGAGCTCACCGTGACAGACGCCACCCCTGACTCCCTGAGCCTGGCCTGGACAGTCCCCGAAGGACAGTTTGACCACTTCCTGGTGCAGTACAGGAATGGGGATGGGCAGCCAAAGGTGGTGCGGGTGCCAGGACACGAGGACCAGGTCACCATCCCGGGCCTGGAGCCAGACCACAAGTACAAGATGAACCTGTACGGCATCCACAGTGGCCAGCGCATGGGCCCCGTGTCTGCTGTCGGGGTGACGGGTGAGTGGATGACAGAACTCATGGGAGGTGGCCCTCAGCTATTTGGTGACTTGACTGAGGACCAGGGCCTTTGGACTGGTCAGTACCACAAGCTAGTCATACTTAAGGCTGTGGCCTACATACCTTCCCCTAGAACTGGCCTGTCTCTCTGGACAACAGAGCCATAGAGGACTTTGCTGTGCTGGTGGGTGTCCAGGTCCCCTCAACTGACCTAGGAACTTGGGCGTGTTGGTCAGCCATTGGTCACCAGATCCCAAGGAAGTCTTCTGTGAACTGACCTCAGGATCCCTTGGTAGCCATGGATCCTCCCCAACCCCCAAGGACATCTGCTGGGTCCCTGCCTCACCTTCTGTGTCCCCTTCTCAGCTGCAGAGGAAGAGACCCCCAGCCCCACAGAGCCCAGCACGGAGGCCCCGGAGCCCCCTGAAGAACCGCTCCTGGGAGAGCTGACAGTGACAGGATCCTCCCCAGACTCCCTGAGCCTCTCCTGGACCGTCCCCCAGGGCCAGTTTGACTCCTTCACTGTCCAGTACAAGGACAGGGATGGGCGGCCCCAGGTGGTGCGTGTCGGGGGCCAGGAGAGGGAGGCCACGGTGAGGGACCTGGAGCCTGGAAGGAAGTATAAGATGAACCTGTACGGGCTCCGCGAGGGGCAGCGTGTGGGCCCCGTGTCCACCGTGGGCGTGACCGGTGAGTGTAGTCTCTGGCTTCAGGGGTTTGTCTCCTTCCTCAGGTGGGCATATGCAGTCACCTTCTTTGTCCCTCCCAACCCCAAGAGGCTAAGCCTCGATTCCCTCCTTCATCCTCCCTGCACAGACCTTGGCCTCTGTCCACCTGAGGCCTCTGTCTCACTCCGTTGTGACCGTCCTCTGACAGTCAGCCACCATCCACTTCCAAAGGTGAACTATGTCACACACAGAGCAAGCCAACTTAGCAGGACTTTTCCATCTGTAGCATTCTTTGTTATGACCACATTCACACTCACACACAGATGGAACAATCCAATGTCAGACTAGCCAGGGCGACTCTGAGCTGCCTATAAGGTTAGCTGACATGCAGCAACAGAAAATGGTTTAACACGGTGCAACCTCATAATGTTCCATTGGAAAACACAGACCCAAGCTAAGTGATGCCCACTTTTAGTCCCAGTACTTGGGAGGCAGAGGCAGGCAAATCTCTGTGTTTTTTAGGCCAACCAGGTCTACACAGCAAGTTCCAGGCCAATCAGGGCTTCACAGTGAGATCCTATCTCAATAACCAAACAAATGGAGCTGGACACTGAGTTAAAGTGCTTGCCACAAAAGCAAGAGGACCCAAGTTTGATTCCCACAACTCACATAAAAGGCACAAGCTTGACATCCCAGGGCTGGGGAGACAGACAGGAAGGTCCCCAAGGCTCACTGGCCAGCCAGCCTAGCCAAATTGGTAGCCCGGGAGAGACCGTGTCTCAAAAAAAAGATGGTCTGTGCCTGAGAAGCAAGCCTCACACATGCATACACATGCATGCACATGTGTGTACACATGTGCACATGCATGCACACATACAAGCCAATACTTGAATTTCTGGTGGACTCACGGTGTGGTAGCATTGTTGAGCAGTGGTAAGAGGTGGGACCTGGGCTTGCTGGAGGAAGTCAGTCTCTGAGAACATTTCCTTGAACCTATATCTTGCCCCGGCCCCTTTCTGGATTCTTTTTCTCTGCTTCCTGGCTGCCGTGATGTGAACCACTCTGTTCCACCACACCCTTCTGACCACAATGGGCTAGCACTTCTGAGCCAGAATAGGGTTTCCTCCCTCAAAAAATAAATAAATAAAATAACTAGAAAAAGAAGAGGAAAAAGAAAAAGCACAGCCCACAGATTTTCATGAGGGTGCTAATCACAACCATTTGGCAATAACTGGCATGGTGGGGTAGGGGGGCAGGCAGGAAGACGCACATCCCACAGCGCCCACGGTGGTATGCTTTGTGAGCAGAATGCAGTGTTCTGCACATTGGTGGGGTTTTTTTTTCAATTTTAGTCTGTTCTACATTGTGCAAATTTTCCAAAATGGCAAGCATTTCGTTTTTTCTCTCCAAGTGTTCCGTTTATAATCACAGGAAAACAGAAAAATACATGCCCCCCCCCTTTTTGTGCTCCATCTGTCCTCCCTGTCACTTTGGCAACTTAGTTCATTTCTAATTAGGAGAAAGTTAAATTTGCTAGTCCCTAAGAAGCCAGGGAGCACACCACAGTTGCACACAGGTGCCCACGGGTGTTAGTCACACAGCCAGTCTTACCTCTGCTTCCCAGTGCTTCTCAAGAGCCCCCCAGAAGTGGACAGACTTGCCCTCTTAGAGTCACTGTGTGGAGGGCAGATCTCTGCCAGCTCGAGCCTCTCGTGTCCTAGTGTCCATCCAAGTAGCGCATGCTCATGTGGGCTCCCTACTCCACAGGCCTATTTCTATGCACATGGTCAGCACACAGCTGGGTTGTGGGGACGGGGAAGAATAGGAAGCCACAGGAGAATTCTAAGCCTGGGCAAGCTGCTATTCCTCACCACTGTTCAGGGTCCTGTTCCTTGTCTCCTGCCCAGTCTTGGCAGTGCTCAGCTTACACCAAGTAGAGAAGGCAGCATGTCCCCTGCCCCTGTGTCCCCTGACCCCCATGTCCTTTGCCCCTCATGTCCCCTGCCCCATGTTCCCTGCCCGTGTCCCCTGCCCCCACGTCACCTACCCCATGTCCCTAACCTCTTGTCCCATCTGTATCACTGCCTACCATCCCTCACTCACTTATTAATGTTGAGTCTGGAATTTCTTTCTTTTTTTTATTTTATTATTTTTATTTTATGTGTATGTGTGTATTGCCTGCATGTAGGTAAGTGCACCCGTGTCATACAATGCCCGCGGAGGACAGAAGAGGGCTTCCGATCCCTTGGGACTGGAGTTACAGACAGTTGTTAGCTGCCATGTGGGTGCTGGGATTCGAACCCAGATCTTCTGCAAGAACAACCAATGTTCTTAACTGCTGAGCCATCTCTCCAGCCCCTCAGTCCAGTTTTTAACCCAATAACCACCATTAGTTAACAGAGCAAGTCCAGGTGACCAGGATTCAATCCCCAGTGCCAAGGACAACAAACAAACAAAAAACCCACCCCAAACAAAGGTCCAAACCAACAGTGTGGGTGGACACTCTCGCCGCCTGCATCTTTCTCGCCTGCTTTACAGCTGCATGCAGAGCGCGGGAGCTTGGTTCTTACTTTTTGAAGTGCTGCATGCATGGCACCATTTACCTTATGACTATACAATTTGCATGAGTCATCCTTTTAATGGTTATTTGATGCTCTCTGTTGAAAGCCCTGTAGCAAAACTAATCATCTGTTACAGGTCACTTGGGTTCCTGACACATTTTGCTCTCATGAATAATCGCATTATGAATTCTTCCATGCTGTAACCTTTTCCTGCTTTTAATAATTTTCTTAGGATAGATGCCCAGAAATGGGATTATTGGGTCAAAGGAAATGAACACTCTTTTGGCTCCTGATCCACATGACCCACTCGCCTTCTGAAGGTGTCTGATGGCAGTCCAACTAGCAGACTGGATAGTGGGGCTGGTTCAACCCTCTCTAGCCTCCAGTGACTGGATGGCCAGTTTCAGAGGCCACTTGAACCCTGGGGGAGCCTTCTGCTGCAAGAGCGGATCTACTTGGATGTCTCTACTATACCTATTGACAGCATCAGTAAAGGTGGTCACTGTTAACACCTGGGATTCATCTCTCAGGATACTATGAAGACCCCTAGCCCCACAAAGCCCAGTGCAGAGCCCTTGGGGCACCCAGAGGAGTGATGCTTGGGTAATCAGATAGTGAAAGTTTCCTCCTAGAGTCTCAGAGCCTCTCCTGGACCATCCCCCAGGGCTGCTTTGCTCTACCATCTGCAAAGACAGGGACAGAAAACCCTGGGTGGTGCATGTTGAGGGCCAGGAGAGGGACCATGAGGGACCTGGAGCTGGGGACAAGTGCAGAATGTACCTCTATAGGCAGGGGGTTGCCTGCCCTGTGTCCATCATGGGTATGTCTGATGAGTGACTGGGAGCGAGGCTGGGCCCAGGATTGGTCCCACTTTACCATCTTCGCAGAAGCCCTGTTCTTAACCATGGCACCTTAGCACTTCCACATGCCTGGGGTCTCACCACGGAGCAGGGTCGTAACCAGCAGTGCCTGACACTCCACATTCCAGACAAGGTCCTGTGTGAGCTTTTCACTATAATAAGCATCAGAGATGATAGAGAGAAAAGGTTTGTTTTGGCTCAGTTCCAGGTTGACCCTGTTCCTTCACAGCCTGTTGTGAGACAGCACTCAAAACAGAACTCGTGGAGAAATACCACTCAACTCACATTCAGAAGCAAAAAGGAAGGGTCGAGTCCTACTGTCCCCTTCAAGGGCACACCTCCAGTGGCTCGGGTCACACTTTATAAGAGCTCGTCTCGCTCCCACTAGCACCACCCTAGAGACAACTCATTTAACAGATAGGCCTGTGAGGGATACGAAATCCTGACGAGGCTCAGCCTTGAGGAGCAAAGCTCTTCACAGCAAAGATATCGGGAGCTCTCTGGGGATACGCAGGCTGGTATTCTGCTGCCTCCCTGAGTCTTCACAGAGGCTCAGTTGCTATGGAAACCACGAAGGAGGTGCTGGAGTATGGAGTCTTAACTGTATACCCCTACCTCATGGTTAGGGTGTTATCTGACCTATGACTCCAATATACCAACAGATATAGGAGCCAGGAGCCAGGCATAGGCTAGATCCAATAGGTTGGGGGCGGGGTGCTTGAGCTAGAAAGACTGACATGTTCCTAAGTAATGAGGTTCACAGGATGAGCTGGGACAAAGCAGGACCTGGCAGGGACACCTAAGTCAGCCTGCCCACAGGTACCCAGGGGACCACTGAGGTCCGAGGTCCAACCGGCTTAAGCTAGGCCTTAGAAAGAGCGTGATCCACGAGGAACCCAAAGGGTTTGTGCTGTCTCTGAGGTGCAAGATGGTCTTGAGATGTGCAGACAGCTCAGGAACCCTTTAACGGTTACCTTTTAATGACCACCCCCCAGAGTCAAGGAGATGAGAGTGACGGTTACCCAGCCCTGTACTGAATGCTGACATCTGGCATTGGAGGATGTGTGTGTGCAAAGCTTGGGCCACCATGTGAAACGAGGGCGGGAGGAAGGGAGCTGAGTGAGAGGAGATGGTGGCCCTCCGCAGGGTCCTGGGTTAGTGTGTGAGGCCACCAGGAGGAACTCAACAAAAGTCTGAGACACTGAGTTGGATGACAGCAGGGACAGGCCAGGGCCACTTTCTGACCTGGGAAGGAGAGTTCCTGTTTGGGGACAAAGACCTAAGCCCAGTGAGGAAGGAGATAACGGGGAGCCATCATAGGCAGGCCTCGGGCATTGCTCCTGTGGGGCCTGCTCTGAACAGGCTGGTGCTGGGGGACAGGGAGAAGTCACATGACTGCTAACAGATGGCAGGAGATGATGGGGAGCCATCATAGGCAGGCCTCGGGCATTGCTCCTGTGGGGCCTGCTCTGAACAGGCTGGTGCTGGGGGACAGGGAGAAGTCACATGACTGCTAACAGATGGAGGGAGATGAGGGCAGATGAGGGTGGGGACCTAGGAACAGGGACGTAGAAGGAACAGAAAGGAGGTGTGTGGAGCTGTGCCCACCATCACTCTGCCCCTCAGGGATCCTTTATATGTGAGCTGAGGACAGAGGAGACCTCACTTGTCCCTCTGTTTATGTCTCTAGACCCATTGGATGAAGTTGTGACCACTCAGGTGGTGCCCACCACGACCCCTGAGCCCCCTGCAGAGAAGCCCCGCTTGGGAGAGATGACTGTGACAGAGGCCACCCCTGACTCCTTGAGCCTGTCCTGGATGGTTCCTGAGGGACAGTTTGACCACTTCTTGGTGCAGTACAAGAATGGGGATGGACAGCTCAAGGTGTTGCGGGTACCAGGGCATGAGGACCAGGTTACCATCTCTGGTCTGGAACCAGACCACAAGTACAAGATGAACCTGTATGGCTTCCACAGAGGTCAGCGTGTGGGCCCTGTGTCTGCTGTCGGGGTGACGGGTGAGTGGACTGTGGAGACAGGAGGTAGACCCTCTAACACTGTGATGACTAGTGAGTGGGGGCTGGTGACTGGGGATTGGTCAGTGCCCCAAGCTTGCTGTGGCTGAGGCTATGGCTGTATGCCTTCCCCAGAGCTGGCTCTCTCCATTGGGCAGTAATGGTCATGAGGCCTTTGCTGTGCTGGTGGCTGTCCAGATCATTTCACCCAACCTGGAAAATTAGGCATGTTGGTCAGCTGTCAGCTGGTCCACTGTGAACTGACCTTAGGATCCCTTGGTGGCCATGGCTTCTCCCTCCTCCCCAGCCCCCAAGGACATCTGCTGGGACCCTGCCTCACCTTCTGTGTCCCCTTCTCAGCTGCAGAGGAAGAGACCCCCAGCCCCACAGAGCCCAGCACGGAGGCCCCGGAGCCCCCTGAGGAGGCATGTTGGTCAGCTGTCAGCTGGTCCACTGTGAACTGACCTTAGGATCCCTTGGTGGCCATGGCTTCTCCCTCCTCCCCAGCCCCCAAGGACATCTGCTGGGACCCTGCCTCACCTTCTGTGTCCCCTTCTCAGCTGCAGAGGAAGAGACCCCCAGCCCCACAGAGCCCAGCACGGAGGCCCCGGAGCCCCCTGAGGAACCACTCCTGGGAGAGCTGACGGTGACAGGATCCTCCCCAGACTCCCTGAGTCTCTCCTGGACCGTCCCCCAGGGCCAGTTTGACTCCTTCACTGTCCAGTACAAGGACAGGGACGGGCGGCCCCAGGTGGTGCGTGTTGGGGGCCAGGAGAGGGAGGCCACGGTGAGGGACCTGGAGCCTGGAAGGAAGTACAAGATGAACCTGTACGGGCTCCGCAAGGGGCAGCGTGTGGGCCCCGTGTCCACCATGGGCGTGACCGGTGAGTGCCTGTCAGATGGGTCTGTGTGAGGAGACCTGTCCTTCCTTTTTACATCATCTCTGGTAACACTTGTTCTCGGAAGCAGGGCCATGTGAACTCTTCTGTTGAGTTGTTTTTCCTGGGGAGACGTGAACTACCTTCTGCTCACCCTGGAGAGGGCACTGACAACCCAAGAACCCATTCCACAAATCTAGCTTATCGAGCCAGCAGTTTATTGGGCTTACTTAGAAGCGCACCGTGAAGAGTTGCTTACAGGAATGTGGGGGGCTCAAAGGTGGCCGCATCATCCAAAACCCCGCCTCAGCACGGGGAAGAACTCAAAAAGCCGCATCTTTGGAGCGTCCTCTGTAACTGTCAACAATTGCTTCTGCTTATGTAATGTTGGGGAAGGACTTTGTGAATCTTACCCCTTGCAGGAGCTTTCTGAGACTTGTGAGTTTTGTCTACTCCCTGAGGTCTGTAAGTTTCATTTTCTTCCCGAGCTTTAATGAGCTTCCCTCCAAGAGGGAACACTTTTAGTTCCGAGGACACAGCTACCCTGTTCCATCACTTTCTCCAGCTCTTACCTTTTGGGTTCCCTTTTCTGTGCTGTTCCCTGAGCCCTGGACACAGGGGATTATATATTTGATTATTTTTGTCCACCTACGGCTGACTACTGGGAAAGTATAATGCAGCAACCGTCACTTAGTCTCAGGAATTTGACCAGTCTCTGCAGTATACCTCCAATTGCAAGAAAGAAGTTTCTGTGAGTGATTGATGTTGATAGCAGCAGTAGACATAAATGTTTCAAAGGCAATTTGATAGGCACATGATATTCATTTGATAAAACAAAAGCAGTTTCCTCCCCAGCCACAGGCTTTGTCATGTACCAAAAGTGAGTTCCCTCCTGCAGAACAGGTCTTAATTCTAACTGGAAAGCAGTTGGTTGGACCCATAACAGTTGTACCACTCTTGAACCACTGGGCTCATCTTGCCTGGCTTGCCAGTACTGGAGCATTCAGGTTCCACAGCCAAGCAGGACTATGGGTGATAATTCTCCCCCAACAAACTTCACAGAGCCTGTCAGTAATATAAAAGCCTTCAGCAAGGAGAGATCCTCCACTTCAGTCTCAACCTGATTCCTCCTTGTTTTACAGCATGCAGTGTCTTCAGCAACAGGGAATTTCCTATTCTGTTTTGTCATACAACCCATAGCATTTCCAGTAGACTCTGTGGTTTGTGGGGTCCCAGGGGCCTCCTTGGCCAATAACTCATGGGAAGGCAGATCACTTCTTATATTGGGATTTTCATTCACCAACCTTTGACTTCTGCAAGTGCCTCTTCCTCATTCACGTAGGGTGCCTTCCTTTAAGTTTCTTAACTGCTGTCTTTACTGACCTTCCAGATGATTGTACAGATATGTGAAGCACTCAGAGATTGGCATTGTGTCATCTATGTAATGAAGCTTTTAGTAGAGGGTGGGCAGGATAACAAGGCACAGGCCCAGGTCACCATCTCATGCCAAATAGTAGGACTGTGAAGGTAACCTTGGGGGACACTCTGAAACCCACCGCTGACCATTCTAAGTGAATGCAAATTGGTCTCAGGAATCCAGCAGCTAAGGGAATGCTAATAAAGACACAGGAGCAAAGTTAAACACAATACAGAAAGATCTCGTCATTTTTATCAGTTATTTCATCAAAAGAGCAACATGGAGTACAGTGTCACAGATACGTTGTCCTATCCCCCTTCCACAGACATTGGCATTTCCAGGAACCACCAGCCTCCTCGTCCTTACAAGAGGAGGCTGTTACAAGACTGTGATGTGTGTCTTCACTCCTCACGGCCTTGGAGTGGATTACATTTCTTGGCCTGGCTCCGGCCTGTGGCTGCTGTCTAGCCTGCCATTCCTGCCTTTAGAACTGGATCCCCAAATCTGACAGGCTCTGGTATTTGCCTTTCCATCAGCCACATCTGGCTGTTGAAACTAAGCAAGCAGTTTCTATCTCTAGTATACTTTCTTGCAAAGGAGAAACATGCACTGAACACTCTGGCAGGGGAATAATTGCTTATCCCTAGGTCAAGTTTAATCTTTTTTTGAGACATGGTCTCCCTGTGTAGCCACAGCTGGCCTAGAACTCTATGTAGACCAGGCTGGCCTTGATCTCACAGAGATCTACCTGCCTCTGCCTCTTGCATGCTGGGATTAAAGGCATGCACCACCGTGCCTGGCTTAAATTCAGTCTTTTGTTTAATCTTCATTGTTTTATCATTTATGTCTTCTGTGAATAATTCTTGGACTACTAGAAACTCACTTTTTATTTTATGTGTATGAATGTATTGCCTACATGGTTGTAAGTACACCCATGGCACACAATGCCCATGGAGGACAGAAGAGGGCATTGAATCCCCTAGAACTGGAGTTACAGACAGTTGTTAGCTGCCATGTTGGTGCTGGGAACCAAACCCAGGTCCTGTGCTGAGCCATCTGTCCAACCCCTGTTCTTCTTTTTTTCCTTTTTTTTTTTTTTTTTTTTTTTGGTCTCTTTGAGACAGGGTCTCCCTGTAAACCAGGCTGGCCTTGAACTCACAGAGATCCGCCCGCCTCTGCCTCCCAAGTGCTGGGATTAAAGGTGTGCACCACCATGCCTGGCTCCTGTTCTTCTTTTTTAAACCTAGGAATTTTCTGGACACAAATCTTGCCACCTTTGCTTTGAGCGATCAGAACAGACCCTCTACCTGCTTTGCCATTCTCTCATTCCTTCTTGATTGCTTTTGCGTTGTATAAAGCCAATTTAAATTTGGTTCAGAGTCATTCTGATCTTTCAGAGCTGCTTCTGCCTCATAAAGGCCACATCCCATGAGCCTCAGGGTAGCCATCCTGAGACCGGGCCTCAAACATCGCCTCTCTCATGCCCAGTCCTTTCAGTGACAACTTCTTCCCTCTACTCTCTTTCAGTCTCTATATTTATGGGAACCAAGTGTCCCTGATGGCTCAGATGAGCCAGTCCATCAGGGACTGATTTTGGTTCTGCCTGAGGTTATGAAACCTTTGTCTCAAGGAGGGATGAGCAATTATAATACTCAGTTTCTCCATTTCCATCACACTTGGATTAATCCCATCTGCCTCTTTGTTTTACAGCCTCACCAGCCAGGCTGTCAGAGGCTCTTTCAATGCCTCAGGTTTAAAGTCTTTCCCAATTCAAGCAGTTGGGAGGCTAGGTGTACCTTAGCCAGCATGGGCCTTCCCGCCTGAGCCTCCTTGTGGGAGGGAGCACTTCAATGCTGAAGAAACTGCTACCCACCGACTCCCACAAATCAGACCCAGCAGGGTGTCCAGAGCCTCGCCTTCTACATCTCTAACAGGACCCCAGGAAGCCAAATGCTGCCACGCGGTCAGCCCTTGAGCAGCAAAGCCCCACAGAACAGGGGTCAGGCCCTCTCTTAAAATTGGTTCCAGAGCTGGTGCCAGCCTCTGATTCTCCCAGAGGCTCCCTCCATCTTTGCAGGGTGTCTCTAGCTCATGAGGGACCAGGGAAGGTGCTAGAATTCTCACTTCTTACCTGTAAGCCCCCTCCATTTTTTTTCAACTTTAGACTTTTATTCTATGACATCAATTTGTTCGTGCCACTAGGAATCCTATGACCTGCTTGATCTGGGAGCTGAGGGCTACTTGTCCCCAGCCGAGCCCTTCAACAACTCACTTGGAGTGATGGCGGCTGGGATGAGGAGGGTCAAGTTTCTGGTGTGGGGAGGGGGCTCTGAGTCTGTTTGGAGCAAAGCTATAAACCCAATGAAGGAGACAGTGAGGGGTGCCATCTCAGGCAGGCCTCGGGCATTGCTCCTGTGGGGCCTGCTCTGCACAGGCTGGTGCTGGGGGACAGGGAGAAGTCACATGACTGCTAACAGATGGAGGGAGATGAGGGCAGATGAGGGTGGGGACCTAGGAACAGGGACGTAGAAGGAACAGAAAGGAGGTGTGTGGAGCTGTGCCCACCATCACTCTGCCCCTCAGGGATCCTTTATATGTGAGCTGAGGACAGAGGAGACCTCACTTGTCCCTCTGTTTATGTCTCTAGACCCATTGGATGAAGTTGTGACCACTCAGGTGGTGCCCACCACGACCCCTGAGCCCCCTGCAGAGAAGCCCCGCTTGGGAGAGATGACTGTGACAGAGGCCACCCCTGACTCCTTGAGCCTGTCCTGGATGGTTCCTGAGGGACAGTTTGACCACTTCTTGGTGCAGTACAAGAATGGGGATGGACAGCTCAAGGTGTTGCGGGTACCAGGGCATGAGGACCAGGTCACCATCTCTGGTCTGGAACCAGACCACAAGTACAAGATGAACCTGTATGGCTTCCACAGAGGTCAGCGTGTGGGCCCCGTGTCTGCTGTCGGGGTGACAGGTGAGTGGACTAAGGCCACTCCAGGTGGGACCCACTGGAAAGTGACTCTCAGCTCTGGTGACAATGAGGAGGGACTGGAGGCCTGGGACTGGTCAGTACCCCTAAGCCTGCTATGACTGTGCTATGGCCCATATGCATTCCCCTGGGACTGGCCTATCTCCCCTGGGTGGGAGGTGAGGATGGGAGGGGTCCAGAGGTCTCTGCTATGTAGGTGGCTTTCCAGGTCCCCTTAACTGATCTAGGAGCCTGGACGTATTGGTCAGTTGACAGCTGACCAGGACCACCAGACCCTAATGTGGTCATCTCTGAACTGACAGCAGAACCCCTTGGTAGCTATGGCTTCTCCCCAACCCCCAAGGCCATCTGCTGGGACCCTGCCTCACCTTCTGTGTCCCCTTCTCAGCTGCAGAGGAAGAGACCCCCAGCCCCACAGAGCCCAGCACGGAGGCCCCGGAGCCCCCTGAGGAACTGCTTCTGGGAGAGCTGACGGTGACAGGATCCTCCCCAGACTCCCTGAGCCTCTCCTGGACTGTCCCCCAGGGCCAGTTTGACTCCTTCACTGTCCAGTACAAAGACAGGGACGGGCGGCCCCAGGTGGTGCGTGTCGGGGGCCAGGAGAGGGAGGCCACGGTGAGGGACCTGGAGCCTGGAAGGAAGTACAAGATGAACCTGTACGGGCTCCGTGAGGGGCAGCGTGTGGGCCCCGTGTCCACTGTGGGCGTGACCGGTGAGTGAATGTCAGATGGATCTGGGTGGGAACACCTCAAGGAATGGTTCCTTTATGTACTGTCTTCGTGGACATGTGTTTGATACCAAGGCTGCCTGAACGCCTCCACAAATTGGACTCAGACCCAGTAGCATGTCCAAAGCACAATACTCTGCACTTCTAAAAGGATCCCAGGAAGCCAGCTGCTGCCACACTGTCAGCCCTAGAGCAGCAAAGCCACACAGCACAGGGGTCAGGCCCTCTCTTGGAATTCGTTCCAGAGCTAGTGCTGCCATCCAGTCCATCAGAGGCTCCATTTTCATAGTGTCTCTGGCTGACGATGGGATAGAAGGGGCTAGGCGTGTACGCTTTTGTTGTGCACTGTAAACTCACTTGTTTGTTTTTTTCAATTTTAGACTTTTATTCTAGTGAACCAATTTGTTCATTCCACAAAGAATCTGGATCTGGGCCTGTGAACTGAGTGCCACTTGTCTCTAGCAAGACCCGTCCAGCAACTCACCTAGAATAAACTGTGAATTGATCCTCCTGGGAGAGCAGGGCTATGGGTGACCTGGGAGGTTTGGAGATAAACTGCTCAGGATCTGAGCCTGAGTTATCTGGCTTTCAGGAGGGTTAGCAGGTGGGGTTCGGTTCTAACGGATGCTGGCAGGAGATAGTCCATCAGTTGTTATAACTGAGTTCCATCTGAGGGAAGGTGCCTAGAGGGAGAACAAAGCCATCGTGTTTAAACAACCTTTTAAAATTTGTTTTATTATTTTGTTTTTATTTTATATGTATGAGTGTTTTGCCTGCATGTATGTAAGTGCACCATGTGCACGCAGTGTCCAGAGAAGCCAGAAGAGGGCATCAGATCTCCTGGAACTGGAGTTATGGACAGCTCTTAATTGTGGTGTGGGTGCTGGGAACTGAACTTGAGTCCTCTGCAAGAGCAGCCAGTGCTCTAACCACTTAGCAATCTCTCCAGCCCCAAAGCCATGCTTTTTAAAAAAAGAGATAGCCAACACTCCAATGATCTAGATGAGGGATGTTTGGTCATTTTGTAGCAAGTGCTCACATGGGTTTGTATGGACATAGGATTCTAAGTTGGCCATTGTGGTCTGATGTCCATGCTCTGTGACATGATCTATGTTCAACATAACTACACAAACCTGAGCTGTGCTGGGTCAGCTGTGAGCTGAGAGAGCCAACCAGACCACAGGGGTCAGGGCTACTGGCCTCTGTCAGGGTGGAGCTTTGAAAGGACACACGCAAGTACCTTTTCACGGGACTCACAGAGGACCAGTCCAAGTGCAGCAAAACATACAGCCAGGGGGCCAGAACAAGACCCACAGGGACACCTAAGCCAGCCTGCTCGTGGGAGCCCAGACTGCTGAGAGCTCCAACAAGCATTGGCTTGGTGACAGGTTTAGAAGAAGTGTGTCACTCCATTGTCTCAACTCATACAAAGACCAGGAAGCTAGAATCAGCAGGACCCACAAGGAACCGAGAGGATTTTGTGTAATGTCATCTGAGGTGCAGGATGGTCTTGAGATGTAGGTGCAGAGGTGGGCAGTTCAAAAAGCCTGGATTCCATCCACCAGGTGGTGGTCATCCCATTCTGTACTGTACACTGGCGTCCGGTATGGGAGTGTGTACTCCTGCTTGGGCTGCCTAGTGGAACATGCTGGGTGGGGGAGAGGTGGAGTGAGCCTGGAAGCAGGGAGGTCAGAGTGGGGGGTCAGAACCTGGGTGAGAGGAGATGGGGGCCCACTCCTCAAAGTTCTGGGATGTCAGGGATGGGAGTGAGGCACCCAGGAGGAACGTAACAAGAGTGGTATGCGCCCAGTCTGATGGCAGCTGGGACTCCGTGAGTCCAGTTTCTGCCTTGGGGGGGCTGGTTCCGAGTCTGTTTGGGGCAAAAGACCTGAACCCAGTAGGAAAGGACACAAGGGGCACTTGTGTGGGGAAGCCCAGGGCAGTAGCTCTGTGGAGCCTGCTCAGAAGGGGCAGGTGCTGGACCGAGGGGAGATGTCACAAGGGTGTTGGCAGATGGAGGGAGGGGGCAGAGTCTGGGTGAGGAGCTGGAAATGTCAACGTGGAGGGAGCAGAAAGATGTGGTGGAGCTGCTGTGGCCAGTGGTTTTGTAAATGCTTCATTATATGTGGAACTGAGGACAGAGAAAACCTAACCTGTTGACGTCTGTGTGTGTGTCTGTCTGTCTGTCCACCTCCAGAGGATGAAGCTGTAACCACACAGGTGGTGCCCACCACGACCCCTGAGCCTCCCCCCAAACCCCGCCTGGGAGAGCTGACTGTGACAGATTCCACCCCTGACTCCCTGAGCCTGTCCTGGACAGTCCCCGAAGGACAGTTTGACCACTTTCTGGTCCAGTACAAGAACGGGGATGGACAACCCAGGGCATTGCAGGTACCAGGGCACGAGGACCAGGTCACCATCTCTGGCCTGGAGCCAGACCACAAGTACAAGATGAACCTGTATGGCATCCACAGTGGTCAGCGTGTGGGTCCCGTGTCTGCTGTCGGGGTGACAGGTAAGTGAACCATGGGAGCCCAGGGCAGGCTCATCAGAAGGTGGACCCTCTAACTTTTGGGTGACTTTGGGTGGGGATTGACCAGGTACTGATTAGTATCCCAGGTCTGGTCAGGACCATAAGCCTGCTTTGGCTGAAGCTATAGCCTGCCTCTGTGAGCCTTGCCCTGGAGCTGGCCTCTCCCTGATAAGGAGGTTCTACAGAGACCTTTGCTATGCTCATGACTGCCCACTTTGCATCTGTTAAATCCAGGAGCTTGGGGATGTTGGTCAGCTGTCAGCTGAGCAGGGCTTACTAGGTCCCTGGGGAGCTTCTGTGAACTGACCTCAGGATCCCTTGGTAGCCACGGCTCCTCCCCAACCCGCAAGCACATCTGCTGGGACCCTGCCTTACCTTCTGTGTCCCCTTCTCAGCTACAGAGGAAGAGACCCCCAGCCCCACAGAGCCCAGCACGGAGGCCCCGGAGCCCCCTGAGGAACCGCTCCTGGGAGAGCTGACAGTGACAGGATCCTCCCCAGACTCCCTGAGCCTCTCCTGGACCGTCCCCCAGGGCGAGTTTGACTCCTTCACTGTCCAGTACAAGGACAGGGATGGGCGGCCCCAGGTGGTGCGTGTCGGGGGCCAGGAGAGGGAGGCCACGGTGAGGGACCTGGAGCCTGGAAGGAAGTACAAGATGAACCTGTATGGGCTCCACGAGGGGCAGCGTGTGGGCCCTGTGTCCACTGTGGGTGTGACCGGTGAGTGAGAACTGGCCTCTGTTTCTCTCCCTCTGGCCTGTTCACTCCCCTCCATTCTTCTCCTCTCCCCCTCTTTTAAAATGATTTTTTTAATGTGTAATGTGTGTGCACCCACTTATCTGTATGTGCACTATGAGTGTGCCTGTGCCCATGGAAGCCAGCAGAGGGCATCAGATCCCCTGGAGCTAGAGAGTTACTCCTGACATGGGTGCTGGGAACTGAACCAGGTCCTCTGCAAAAGCACCCAGAGCTCCTGCTGAGCCATCTCTCCAGCCCCTGTCTTCTCCTCCAAGTCCTCTCCTTTTCCCTCTCCTCCCATCAGCACCTCTACCTTCACACCCCAGGCTCCTGTTTCCCAACACTGCTGAGGATTCCTTCATCCCCGAATGGAGGGAGGAAGGTTGCTAGCTGTCCTCATAGCCCGGCTCATGGTCTATGCTCTGTCCACACACTCCTTCCTCTACTCCAGAACCTCTCAGTCCCTCATTTGTCCCTCCCCTAGCCTCCTCCCTGGGTAGTTAGTGACTGAGAACATGCTCCAGACCTGGGTCTAAATCTGCCTCCAGCAGGAGGACTGTGTGACTTTTCGAGCATTTCTTAACACCTGCAGCAGGGGACAATCGTGATGGCACCGGCTAAACATGGAGGCCCAGGGGCTCGTGGGTGTGCATGCCTTCAGCCATTGCCCGTGTGGGGGAAGCTTTAGTGTCTGAGAAGCTGTTTTGCAGACCCAGCCCCCTCAGCAAGTCCCACCTGACCTCTTGAGTCTTATCTGCTCTGTTGCAGCCTCCCTGCCCACACAGCCCCCTGTGGAGCCCCGCCTCGGGGAGCTGGCGGTGGCAGAGGTGACTTCCCACACTGCACACCTGTCCTGGACGGTGGCCCAGGGCTCCTTTGACTCCTTCCTGGTTCAGTACAAGGATGCACAGGGGCGGCCCCAGGCCGTGCCAGTGAGCCGAGACCTGAGCGAAGTCACCATCTCGGGTTTGGACCCGGCCCGAAAATACAAGTTTCTACTCTTTGGACTCCTGGATGGGAAGCGCCATGGCCCTGTCTCCCTGGATGTAAAGACTAGTGAGTGAGGCCTGAGCCACCCTTGGCCCCGCAGCTCCCAGCCAGCCTTTGCCCCCTTGTGGCCACTGATGGAAGTTCATGTTTCTGTACCCCACATTCCAGACCTTGGGGCTTGGCAACCCATTGGTTTATTAGGTTCGCCCAAATTCAGACCTTCACCCTGTCCTTCTCCCTACCTGGCTTAGCTCAGGGCACACTTTCCTAGCTGGAGCATCTCTCCTCTCTCCTCCTAGCCCAGGCACTCCCTTCTAGCCCCCAGAGCCCCAGCACCCCCTAAGCTGTCCCTGCACCACACCCTTTGTGGTGGCTCTCCAAGTGGCTCCTCTCTTTTCCAGTCTCAGACACTAAGCCCCCTCCCCATCTTGGGGAGCTGGCAGTGACAGACGTGACCCAGAACTCTGTGGGGCTCTCGTGGACTGTCCCTGAGGGTGAATTCGACTCCTTTGTGGTCCAGTACAAGGACAGGGATGGGCAGCCCCAGGTGGTGCCAGTGGCAGCAGACCAGCGTGAGGTGACCATCCCAGGCCTGGAGGCCAATAGGAAATACAAGTTCCTGCTCTATGGCCTGGCAGGCAGAAAGCGGCTGGGACCTGTCTCTGCTGAGGGCACCACAGGTGAGTGTGGCCCTGCCTACCACCTTACCTGAGCTCTGAGAGTTGTCCCCAGGGCTTCCAGGGGTACATACCCTGTCTTCAGCCTGGACATAAGGGTCATAACAGCAAAAGCAGGTCCTGCTCTGGGCCACGCAAAACGCTAAGCGTTTTATACGCAGTCTCCTTCCTTCACTGGCCACTGCCAAAGGAGAAAGAGCTGGGCTTTGGGCTGAACTGACCTGGCTTCAAAACCTGCGCCCAGGCCTCCCTAGCTACGTGGTGTAGATAAGCCACCCTGTCCCTGCACCATGTCCTCCTCGCCTATGTGGCAGCAACAAGCTATTCCCCCTGGCACTCCTATGCCTGTCCTCCCAACCTGGAGCCAGGAGGAGGAAAGTCAGGGAAGACTTGGCTGCAGGAAGATTATGGAAAAATCTGGTGTTCTTGTACCCATGACTCAGCCCCCCAAGGAAGGGTGGAGTGGGTCACTGACCCTTACCCCACTCCCGGGTCCATGAGTCACCTAGCTAGACATCAGACTCCATAATTCCTCCTTCCTCATTGGGGACGTCATCTGGGTTTATCTGACCCTCATCTGTCAGTCACCACCCTCATGTGTCCCCCTGGCTTCTTCTGCCCCACCGTGGCTGCTGCTCCAGGGCTGTTAATTCTGGACTGAGGAAGGAGATGGGGGCATGCCAGGCTAATGACAGGTGGGGAGGTCCTTCCAGGTGGTGATGGGAGCCCACAGCCAGCCACGCAGTACAGCTGGGTATCTCTCTGACACTCCGGATGCCTCTAGCAGCCTCTTCGTTCTGGCCACAGCCCTTCCCAAAGGAAATTAAGGTCCCCTCTGTGCCCACAGCTAACCCTCCCGTGGGATGACCTTCTGTGTCTTTCTTGTACTCTTGACTTTGCTGGAAGGGCACAGGGGGAGGAAGGGTCTAGGCAGTGCCTTCAGAGGACAGGCAGGGTAGCTATCCTCATCCTTGCAAGGCAGGGCTGTAGTAGGCCCCATGGTGTCCTCGGGCATCTGTCCCTGAAGCCACCTTTTCCTAGACCCTCACATTTCTCGGGGGTCTCCAGGGCTGGAGACTCTTGACTGAGTCTTTCTCATTCTCTCCACAGCTCCCCAGCCCCGCCTAGGGGAACTGGCGGTGACAGAAGAGACCTCCAACACTCTACACCTCTCCTGGACCATGGTCCAGGGCCCCTTTGATTCCTTCCTGGTCCAGTACAGAGACAGGGATGGGCAGCCCCAGACAGTGCCTGTGCCCGCAGACCAGCTTGAGGTCACTATAGAGAGTCTAGAGCCAAGCAGGAAATACAAGTTTCTGCTCTATGGACTCTTTGGAGGAAAGCGCCTGGGGCCGGTCTCTGCCGTGGGGGTCACAGGTAAGGCCGCCCTGCCTGATGCAAGGGCTAAGTGGTCTGAGGGGTCATCTTTGTAACTTCAGAGTAAAGAGGAAAGGACTGGCCGGAGTACACAGTTGGAGAGGGGAAGGGCAGAAGCCTGTCCAGGACCAGAGAAGCGGGAGGACATGGGCCCAGGACAGGAGCCAGGCCAGGCAGGAAGGAAAGCTGGACAGAGTTCCCTGCTCCCTGACCCCACTCAACTCCCACTACCCATCTTGGGGCAGCTTTGATCTCTCTTAAGAGAGGGAAAACCTCCTGCTGTGGGGGAGTCAGGGATTTGTTTTTTTCTCAAATGGAAAATCGCTGGGATGCTCAATGGTCAGAGGCCACAGGAGCCAGGGGAAAAGAAATGGGCTTCTTTTCCAAAGGTCACTGCTGCCCACTTCAGATCAGCCAGGCCCAGGGTACATGGCTGGTGCGACTTGCCAGGCATGTACACCAACCACCAGCTAGTGCCATCTTCAAATGGGAGGGGGATGGGGCACCTGACCCAGGCTCGGCAGGCCCAGGAAAGGCACCAGGCAAAGCAGCTTTCTGGGCAGGAGGCAAGTTGGGCTCAGAGAGGCCCTGGGGTGGCAGGACACACTGCCAGGGCCCAGATGGAGCCAATTCAGGAGCTGAAAAGTACCAGAAATACCCCAGTCCCTCCCTTCCCTCTACTGGGCTGCCATGCCAGGATTTCTGAAATATCACTAGACCTGGGCCAGCCTGGCAACTCTTCTTTTGAAGGCAGGATAGAAAGGGCATGGCCCACGACACCCCTCCTCAGGTTTTACCCTGGCTTCTCCCATGCAGCCCCAGAAGAGGACACACCAGCCCCAGAGACCCCTGAGCCCACTGAGCCACCCCACCTGGGGACGTTGACAGTGACAGAGGCAACGCCAGACTCCCTGCGCCTCTCCTGGGGTGTGGCCCGTGGCCCCTTTGACTCATTTGTGATCCAGTATCAGGACACAGAGGGGCAACCCCAGGCTTTGCTTGTGGATGGTGACCAGGACAAAGTCCTCATCTCGGGCCTGGAGCCCAGTACCTCCTACAAGTTCTTCCTCTATGGCCTGCATGAAGGGACGCGCCATGGACCTGTCTCTGCTGAGGGCACCACAGGTAGTGCCAGGCTTGGCAACCACCTTAGTCTGGGCTGGGAAGGGTGGAAGGCAGTGTCCAGAAGAGGATGACCCAGGAGGTACCAAAGAGGAAGAAGGGTCATCTGCCTCTGCGCTGTCCCCGGCTCTGCTCCTCTGTCAGTGCACTTGTCCCACCTGTGGTCCCTCTCCAGCCCCACCTTACTGATGGAAAAAGGACCAGGATGGGGTGATAGAAGGGACATGTCCCAAGCCTCCAGGCTCGTGTCTCTGTCTCCAAACCCTTCTCTTCTACCCACTTCGCACAGGTCCAGCTCCTGCGGGTCAGACCCCAGGGGACCCAGGGCCCCGCCTGTCCCAGCTGTCCGTGACTAATGTGACTACCACTTCTCTGTGGCTCAACTGGGAGGCTCCACTTGGGGCCTTCGACTCCTTCCTGCTCCGCTTTGGGGTCCCCTCACCAAGTACCCTGGAGCCATATCCTCGTCCTCTGCTCCAGCGGGAGTTGATGGTGCCAGGGACCAGGCGCTCAGCTGTGCTTCGGGACCTGCGTCCTGGGACCCTGTACAGCCTTACACTGTACGGGCTGCGGGGGCCGCACAAGGCTGACAGCATTCAGGGCACGGCCCGTACCCTCAGCCCAGGTGAGGCCCCACCCTGGGCACCAAAGTAAGGACTTTATACCTTGCAGGGTGGGACCCAGCACGTAACGGGGGTTTGGTGAGTTGGTAGAGGACTTGAAGGAAGCCAGAGTGCCTTTTGTCCTGAGGGCCTGTCGGAGGTGGATGCTGTGAGGTGCCCCTTCTGCAGCCAGAGCAGCCAGGGAGAAAGGAAGGAGCCCACCTGCCCCGCCCTCACTACTGTATTGCCCTCACTGTCTCCAGTTCTGGAGAGCCCCCGTGACCTCCAATTCAGCGAAATTGGGGAGACGTCGGCCAGAGTCAACTGGATACCACCGGCATCCAGAGTGGACAGCTTCAAAGTTTCCTACCAGCTGGCAGACGGAGGTGACGCCTTCCACCGTGTCCACATTAGCTCTCATTTCTCCTGCCACCAGCCCCCCCCCGCGTCCCCGCACACTTCCCACGCGCTAACTGCTCCCAGGCCTCCTGGGTAACCTCCCAGGCCCCTCCCTATTTTCAGGAGAACCCCAGAGTGTGCTGGTGGACGGCCGGACGCAGACCCAGCTCCTCCAGGGGCTGAGCCCAGACACTCGGTATGAGGTGACTGTGGTCTCTGTCCGTGCCTTTGAGGAGAGTGAGCCCCTCACAGGCTTCCTCACCACAGGTGAGAAGGCCTGTTCCCACCTCACAAGAGGTGGGGGAGGAAAAAGCACGGTATGGGTGGGAGCTGAGAATGAAACGGGGCGGGGGGTGAAGGAGGGCCTGGTGCTCCGCCCTCCAACCAGCGAGGGGCTGGTGGAGTTTGGGAGAGTTGGGGGGAGGGACCCCTCCGAGCCACCTCCTTTTTCCTAGTTCCCGATGGTCCCACCCAGCTGCGAGCGCTCAACTTGACGGAGGGATCCACCCTGCTGCACTGGACGCCCCCCCACAAACCTGTGGACCAATACAGCGTCAGGGTCGCAGCCCCCGGGGGTGAGCAGGGCTAAGCCTCCCTCTGAAGGAGACTGACTCGGGGTACAGAAAGCAGGGGACAGGCATGGATCGGGCAGGGCCTGATGTGCACCTCCACTCTCCAGCCCCACCTCTACAGGCCTCCGCACCAGGCAGCGCCGTGGACTATCCCCTGCGGGACCTGGTGCTCCACACCAACTACACAGCCACTGTGCGTGGCCAACGAGGTCCCAACTACACCTCCCCAGCCAGCATCACCTTCACCACGGGTACAGCTGGAGGCGTGTGGGGTGGGTTACGGGAGGTTCCAGGCAGCCAGGATGGACCACATGTCTGTCTTCCCACCTTCCCTTCCCAGGACTGAAGGCCCCCCAGGACTTGGAGGCCAAAGAAGTCACTCCTCGAACGGCCCTGCTTACTTGGACTGAGCCCCAAGTCCCACCCACAGGCTACCTGCTGAGTTTCAACATGCCTGGAGGACAGAGCCAGGTGCCCCCCACCCCAGCCTCATTGACTCCCTGCTCTCCCAGGCTCTTCCAGTGAGTGTCCAGCTCACCCTTTGCTGACCTTCCCCTTGTCTGTCCCCAGGAGATCCTGCTCCCGGCAGGGTCCACCTCGCACCGGCTTCTCCGCCTCTTCCCCTCCACCCCCTACAGCGCCCGGCTCCAGGCAGTGTGGGGAGAGAGCCTCACGCCACCAGTGTCCACCTCCTTCACTACTGGTACTGACCCGCTGGGCGTGAGCTCAGGTGGGCAGCAGGGGTCTGAGATTTGGAATAAAGGATAGACAGCCCCTCGTCCTATCCTTCTCAGGTGAGCTGAGGGTCCCCTTCCCCCGGGACTGTGGAGAAGAGATGCAGAACGGGGCCAGCGCCTCAAAGACCACCACCATCTTCCTCAACGGCAACCGAGAGCGGCCCTTGGATGTGTTTTGTGACATGGAGACCGATGGGGGCGGCTGGCTGGTGAGTGGCAGGTGGAACCTGGGTACCTGTGTAGGGGAGGGGCCGATGCCCAGGAGCCAGAGGCTCATGCTGCCCCTGCCTGTTTTCCAGGTGTTCCAGCGCCGCATGGATGGACAGACGGACTTCTGGAGGGACTGGGAGGATTATGCCCACGGCTTTGGGAACATCTCCAGGGAGTTTTGGCTGGGTCCGTGCCCCAGAGGGCTGGGGAGCCAGGGAAGGGATGGTGGTCACGTGGACCTCAGGACCCTGATGAACCATGCTCCACCCCAGGCAACGAGGCCCTGCACAGCCTGACACAGGCTGAAGACTACTCCATGCGTGTGGACCTGCGGGCTGGAAATGAGGCTGTGTTCGCTCAGTATGACTCCTTCCGGGTAGACTCTGCGGCTGAAAACTACCGCCTCCACCTGGAGGGTTACCATGGCACCGCAGGTAAGGGCGGGCAGGCTGGGGTTGGTGGGGGGGGCATGAGGCCGGTCTTCACTGCTCCTTCCCACGCCGTACCAGGGGACTCCATGAGCTACCACAGCGGCAGCGTCTTTTCCGCCCGTGATCGAGACCCCAACAACTTGCTCATCTCCTGTGCTGTCTCCTACCGTGGGGCCTGGTGGTACAGGAACTGCCACTATGCCAACCTCAACGGGCTCTACGGGAGTACAGTGGACCACCAGGTAGGGGCTGTGGAGGCAGCGGGGCTATGGGGTTGGGCCGCCTGGGTTAGAACTCTGTCCACATGCATGATCGAGTCTGTAAGTGCCTCAGAGGCTCATCTGTGAAATGGGACAATAATGCCAATCTCACCGAGTAACCTTGAGACGACGGTTTATTACTGGGTAGGAAACAGCAGCTCAGGATTAAGCTCCCTCAGCTGACGGTTAGGGAAGGAGCAGTGGGGAGACAGGTGGATGCCTGGGAGTGACCTTTAGGTGCAGGGTGGGAACCAAGAGGTGCCGGTCATGAGGCACCAGCTTTGACGCTGTTCCCCTTGGCAACCCTCTCCTCAGGGAGTGAGCTGGTATCACTGGAAGGGCTTCGAGTTCTCCGTGCCCTTCACGGAAATGAAGCTGAGACCCAGAAACTTCCGGGCCCCCACCGGGGGCGGCTAAGCTGCTGCCCGCCTCTCTCACCCCAGTATGACTGCCGAGCACTGAGGGGTCGTGCCAGGGAAGAGCCAGCACTCCTCCACCACCTAGACAGCTGAGGAAGCCTTCTCTGCCACGGTCTCACAGCACCATGTTTACAGGGGGGAGGGGAGGGCTTGGTGTGGGAGCAATAAAGGAGAAACTGAGGCACAAGGCTGGTACCGCTCCTACCCCATCAAGGACACTGGCCCAGGTCTGGGGCCCCCGGGTTCCGGGGCTGCAGCCGCACCTGGAAGGGCTGCATCAGGAGGTTGACACCGCCATAGCTCTGCGGCTGCAGGGACGGCAGGGTGCCGTCAGCTGGCGGCAGCAGCGTGAAGGCCTGGAGCAGGCGCCCCAGCACCACAAACAGCTCCAGGCGCGCCAGCGACTCTCCCAGGCACACTCGCGCCCCGCAGCCAAACGTCGGTGTCCTGGGATTCTTGCCGGGCTCCAGGAAGCGGTCTGTGGGTAGTGGGCAGATAGGTAGGGAAATCTGTCTCAGCCACGGGCGGGCCTCCTCCGCCTCCGCACCTGGCCCCCTCATACCCGGCCAGAACTCGTGGGGCAGCTCCCAGACCGACTCGTCCAGGTTGGCACCTTGCAGGTTAGGGATGATGATCGTGTCCTTGGGGATGTCATAGCCAAAGATGCTGAGAGAAGGTAGAGTCAGATGCCGGCCAGGACCCGATCTGACCTTCCTGACTCCACCCTGACCCCAGGGGATCACCTGCTGGCCCTCGTGGTGCGATGGGGCAAGGCCAGCGGCACCACTGGCCGGAGGCGCAGAACCTCAGCGATGGTGGCCATGAGCAGAGGCAACCGCATGCGGTTCTTGTACAGGACCTGGGAGCTGGGGGCATCAGGGCCCAACCTGAGGTCAAGCTCTTCCTGCAGTCGCTTCTGGATCTGGAGGCAGGGGCAAGCACCGAGTCCAGGAACCCAGCTTTGCCCCTGGTGCCTGGGGGTGGCTCAGCCCAGCCTGCAGCCCCTCCCCCCAGCCTCCCCGCACCGCCTATGAGCCCCTTTGGCAGCACAGCCCCGGCCAGGCAGTCAGAGAGAGCAAGCTGGGTCAAGCTGCCGGAAGGAGCCTCTCGCTCTCCCCAGAGCACACACCTCAGGGTAGTGAAGCAAGAAAGCCACAGCCCAGGAGAGGGTGATCGCCGTGGTCTCGGTGCCGCCGATGAAAAGGTCCACCACAGCCATGTGCACGTGCCCCTCGTGGAGCTGTCCGGGGTTTTTGTCCCCTCTCTGATGTTCTACTCCTTGGAGCATGTAGTCTATCATGTCCCTCCACTGGCCTGCCACCTGGCTGTCCTGCAGAGGGCAAGGGGCAGGTGCTGAGTGTCTGGCGGGGGCTAGGGAAGCTTCTGGAAAGCCAGCCTGGCGGACATTCAGGGGCAGGAGCATCACCGGCCTGCGGTTCAGGAGCAGCTCCCACCTTGTGCTGCCTCAGCTGTTGCTTTACCACATGGTCCCTCTTCTCCTGGAGGCGCCTCAGCTTCCGCAGGCCTGGGTTGGGGAAGAACTGGGGCAGCAAGCAGAGTTAGCTGTGGGGTGGAGACCTGGTCCTCTACCCCAGGACCCAGGGGAACCTGGGCTCCACTGCCTCACCCTGAGAAAGGGGACTAGGTCCAAAATTTGGATGGACCAGTGGTTCCAGGCTCTCAGCAAATCATCCACACAGCTGTGAATGGTTCCTGCCAAGGCTTCATCCTGCCAGAAAAGGGGGGTCTGCTTTCAGTTCAAGACAGGGAGCCAGGGAGGGGCTGAGGGATGAGGCTGAGAGGTGACATGGCCTTGACCTTGTCTCCAAAGGTGAGGCAGCAGATGATGCTGCATGTGAGGAAAGAGAATTCCTTATAAATGGTCACTGGGGTCCCGGCCTGGGCTCTCATGCGCTGTGGAGAGAAACACGCTACACAGACTGGGGACAGAAGGACGCTGTGGGAGAGGGAGGCTGATCCCCTAGGAGGGCCAGGCCTCAAGAACCCAGCCTCACCTCACAGAACTCCTGGGTCAGCCGTTCCACCAGAGGTTCCATGGAGTCTCGCATGCCCAGCGTCAAGGCTGAACGGGAGAGTTTCTTTTGGGCCTTCCAGGTCAGGGAGTAGTCCCCTAGTGACAGGTCCAGGTGGTGCTGAGGGTCCAGCTTTTCTACCGGCGTGGGGGGGATATGGTGGATGAAAACTAACCATAGAAGCCAAAGGTCTTACCTTCTGCTTCCCCCACCCTGCCCCCTCCACCCTCAAGAAATGCCCCGAGCCCTTACGGGTTACTATTGTGGGTCGACCAGCAAAATCTGCCCACTTTTGGATCATGGCCTCCTCAATGACCTCGTTAGAGTTCAGCACCACCACATCTGGGGGAGGAGAGTGGGTGTCAGCAAGGAAAGACGACCACCTCCTGTGCGGGACCACAGAGGGAGAAGGCTCGCTCACCCTGCAGCCCCAAGCGGATCCTGTAGATAGGTCCAAGTTTCCGAGTGAGTCCTAGCAGGTAGATGGGGAGGTGAGGCTGGAGAAAGTGAAGGAAGCCTGGGGCGAGAGGCGGGAGGCGCTGGTTCCAGAGCTTCCTCCAGCCCCACAGCCAGCTGGTACCAACGAGCAGCAGCAACAGTCCAAGGAGCATCATGGTGAGACAACCTGTGTGCGGGCACTGGCCCTGCCACTTATAGCTCCTGAGCCCCAGCCTTCCAGTCTGCCGTTGGGACTGCTAATCCCCACCCTCGGGTCCGTTCCCACCGAGTGGTACGTTTCCATCTTGGCACCAGTCACACTGGCCTTGGAGAGTTCAAGCATCAAAGATCATGCCATCCATCAAGAAGAAAGGAAAAAAACAAAGCCCTGACCTTCCTTCTACATCAGAATCAGCTTTCTAGGCCCATATGCGCTGCCATGTGGGCCGAGGCATTTACCCTCAGCCTGGCCTTCTCCCACCATACCCCATCTTGGACCAGCTTAGTGGTATGAATGTGTTTCAGAGCAAAAACACCACAGTCTCTGCCTAATTTAATATACCTTTCAGGATTGCCTGAAGAACAGAAAATTGTCGTTGACAATTTGTGTGCATTTTTCTTTGTTTGAACGTACAAATAGGTGACCCACATGGCCTGCTTTGCCAGGGGCATCACAGTCCCTGTACAATTATTATTTCATTTTGGTGGTACAGGGATTGAACCCAGGCTTTCCATGCTCTAGGAAAACACTCAACCATAGAGCTGCATTCTAACTCTACTTCCGTTTTCAGTTAATTTTGAGACTCACTAAGTTGCCCAGGTTGCTTCAAACTTACCAGACAGGCCTCCCCCCGAGGTGGCTGGGATTATAGGCACAAGTCACCGTGCCTGGTTCTCTGTGTGAGTTGTTGCTGTTGTTCTTGGAGGCCAGAGGTCATTCCTCCTGTGCCATCCACTTTGCCTCGTCATTTGCCTGGCGCTCCCGGAATCGGCTAGGTGGGCTGGCCTTGGAACCCCAGGATCCTCCTGCCTCCACCTCCCTATCCCTGAGATGACTGACATGGAACACCACCCCTGGCTCTTTACATGGGTTTTGGGGATCAAACTCAGATCCTCATCTTCAAGGCAGGCACTTTACTGAGTGAGCCATCTCCCCAGCCTCTCCCTATGCAATTTCTTTTGTGTTACTGTTTTGATTTTTTTTATTTTTCAGGCAAGGTCTCATGTAGCTCAGGCTGGTCTTGAACTCAATATGTAGCCAAGGATGACCTTAAAGTGATCCTTCTGCATCCATCCCCAAAGTTCTGGTATTATAAGCATGGGCCCCAATGTCTGGCCCTGTGTAATTATTAATATTATTAATATTCCTCTTTCTTCATTGAAAATGCCTGGCGTTACATGTGGTGGCACAAGTTTATAATCTCAGTATTTGGGAGGTAAAGGCTGGAGGATCATGAGTCTGACGCCAGTCTGTAAGACCCTATCTCAAAGAAACAAGGGCTGAAATATAGCTCCGTGGTAGGGTGTTGGCCCAGCGTGAGCAAGGCCATGGGTTCTAGCCCCAGCACCACACACAGGACGAACCCAGAAGACAAAGCATCACAGCGCCCACCCCCGACTTTGGAGCACCCAGTGTGTACCAGACTCTGTCCTGACTGCTCTGCTCCATAGTCTTGTGAAACATGCAACTGTTGTCCCCATTTTGTAGTGAAGATGCTCAGGCCAGTGGCTGGGCAGCTCAAGAAACTGTAGAGGCAGGGCTGGGTTCCCGCTGGGGATCAGGCAGCAGAATCTATACATTTAGCCTCTAAGAGCAGCTCTCTTTAGCTGCAAGGAAAACAGAGCAACTTGAGCTAACAAAAGAAAAAAAGGAGGAGGAGGTAAATAAGGGGAGGAGGAGGAGGAGGACAGAGCAGAGAAGAAGGGGAGGAAGAGAGGGAGGAGGAAGAGGGAGGGAGGAGGAGGAGGAGGGAAGGATCCGGAGAAGAGGCGAGGAGGAAGGGAGGAGAAGGAGGATAAGATGGGGAGGGGGAGGATAGGGAGGACAATGAGGGGAGGATGGGGAGGAGGGGGAGGAGGAGGAAGGGAGGAAGGAGGAGGAAGAGGGGGAGGAGGAAGATAGGGGAGGAGGAGGAGGAGGATGGGGAGGAGGAGGAGAAGCGGGAGGAGGGGGGAGGGGGCAGAGGAGGGGGGGGGGGAGGAGGAGGAAGAGGGGGAGGCGGAAGATAGGGGGGGAGGGGGGGGAGGAGGAGGAGGAAGGGGGGAGGAGGAAGAAGAGGGGGAGGAGGAGGAGGGGGAAGAGGGGGAGGGGGAAGGGAGGGGAGGAGGAGGAGGAGGGGGGGGAGAGGGAGGAGGAGGAGGAGGGTGAGGAGGAAGATAGGGGAGGAGGAGGAGGAGGATGGGGAGGAGGAGGAGAAGCGGGAGGAGGGGGGAGGAGGACGAGGAGGGGGAGGAGGATGAGGAGGAGGAGGAGGAGGAATTACATAGCAATACAAGGTGTTTCAGGGAACCTGAGTACAGGAAAGTAGGAAAGAGGACCATGCTGGACTTCATAGGCCAGGGATGAAAACCAGAAGCAGTCCTGGTGGCTCATGCTCTTCCTCTCTCCCTGCAGCTGAGTTTCCTATGCTTCAGATGCAAGCAGGGCAGGGAGACCTGGAGGGTCAGGGTCCAGAGGTCACAGGACCGGCCCTGGGTGAGAATGGATTCCAGTATGATGGGGTACTACCAACTGCCAAAGTCCCCAGGATGGAGCTGGGCAGCGACAGCTGGCTCAGGGGTCCAGCCTCATCCTAGAGTGATATGGTCTCCTTGGGACCATATCAGGGCCACTTTCGTGGGTATGGAGGCAGTTGGGAGCCAGAAGAGCACTTGGGGAGAAGTCATGCCTAAAAGGGGTGGTGGGGCTCAAGGAGGCACATGAGAACTCAAGCGGTCCCCCAACCTCCCATCCCGTTTTGTAGACAGACCCCAGGGTCTGTCCCTTTCCCCTCAGCTTTACCCAGAGCACAGACTGTGGCCCTGGAGGCCCGGATGGGCGAGCTGACAGCTGGGATGGAGGTGTCCTTGTGGCAGAGGCTCGGGCTCAGTCTGGATCTGTGCCCAGCCCCAGGAGGAACAGAAAAGGAACGAGGTTTCTGGGGTTGGGCAGTGACAGCAGCCATCTTCTTCATGGGTAACTCCCAGACCCAGGCCATGTCTGACCGTAACTGCAGCTGAATCCCTGCTGTGCTGACTGGTTTTAGGTGGGGAGGGGGGTCCAGAGGGTGGCCTTGAGGCCACGAAAGCAAGTGACTCAAAGCTCAGAAACACCCAGAAAGGTCAGAATTTCTTGAAAGTTCATGGAAGAAGGGCTCTGGTTGACAGGATGGACCGGAAAAAGCTGGTGTATTTGTGCTCATCCTTTCGTAACGGTTTCTGCTTAGGTCACCATCCCACCCCTCCCAACTGAACATCCCAGCAAAGTCCAGTTTCGTGCAAGGTCCCAAACGTGCGATATCCCATCCCCAGCCTTTATGCATCTCCTCGTTTCTGTCTCAAACACCCTCATCTCCTGCTTTGCCTGATCCCTTCTCAACCTTCACAACACAGACCAGATCCCAGGCGTACTGAGGCACTCCTGTAATCCCAGTACTTGGAAAGCTGAGGCAGGAGGATTAAGAGATCAAGGCCTGCCCTGCCTATGTGAGACCCTGTCTCAAAAAGCCAAAAAGAGGCAGGGGAGGAGAATGGAGAGATCATTCAGCAGTTAAAAGCACTGACTGCTCTTGCAGGGGACCGGGATTCGATTCCCAAGACCCACAGGGCAGTTAACAACCGCTGCTAACAACTCTAGTTCCAGGGGATCTGATGCCTTCTTCTGGCCTCCAAGGGCACGTGTACACTTATATACATGCAGGAAAGACACTCATACACATAAAAATAAACACAGAATTTTTTAAAGTTAAAAAAAGGAAAAAAGGCTGGAGACATGGCTGAATCGGTAGGATTTGCCTAGTCTGCGCAAAGCCCTGGCCTTCACCCCTAATTTTGTGGCATGATGATGCAGGCCTATAGTCTCAGCACTAGAATGTAGAGGCAGGAGGATCAGGAGTTCAAGGGTATCCTTGGCTACATACCAACTTTGAGGCCAGCCTGGGATCTGTGAGGCCCTGCCTCAAAAACAAACAAAATCAGCAGGAAGTCTTTCTGTGCCCCTATCGCTCATCTGGCCCTGACACCACATCTTTCCCGGGGCATGGGGATGACCCAGCCTTGTTTCTGTCTCCCCAGTGCTGAGCCTCTGGAGTAAGTTGCTGTGTCCCTGGTACTTAGAATGGCAGATCATCTTGGTTTTCATCAAGACTCATCTGATTCCTCTGATCTCATGAAATTTCCTCAGGTGGAGTTCTAGGCCACCTGACTGTCCAGGGGTGCCACCACAATGGGAGAAAGCTAGGCAGGCAGAGGGGAGAGGGCTGGCCCCCATGAGAGATGGTCCCCCGGAGTATTCAAAGTAAGTTTTTGGATTGTTAGAAATCAGTGCCCAGACGAGACACTGTCAGATTTGAAGTGCACAGTTGTGAAAAGTTGCCCAGTACCATTGATAACAAGGTCAACAGACTTGCAACAGACCAGGAATTAGTTCAGGTCAACCACCTCAAGACTCCACTACACGAGGCAGAACGGGGCACGTGGGCTGACATCACTGGTGCACCTAAGGAAGTGAGGTGGCCCCAGGCTGCAGGGACCGAGGCATCCGGGAACAGAGCACCTGGGAACCAGCTGTTGGACCCCAAGCTGGACTGGGTCCCAGGGAGGGGAGGCATCAAGGGGGGTTCAGCAGAGCTGCACAACCCCAGACTCTGAGTTCAAGATTACACAGACCTGGTGAGGGCCCCAGACCCTGGGTGGGCGGTGGGCTGCTCCACACTAAGAGACACAAGGCGACATTTTGCTTCCAAAGGCCTTTATTATATCCCCGACGCTGGCTGAGGCTGCGCTCGGGCACTCAGAGTGCCGTCATCACACCTGGCACCCCTGGGTGCTGTACTCCTGTATGAAGTCTCTGAGCTGGGCACAGGCCGCCCGCTGGCGGGTGCTCTGGCATAAGCGTTCAGAGGGCATCTCTTCAATCCAGCTGTTTGAATCCAGCAGATACTGGGGGCTGTGAGGGACACAGAAAGCATAGTTGGGGTCAGGACAGGTACAAGTCTCTGTGCTTCTGAAGGGCAGTGCTGGGTGCAAGGGGTCTGTTCCCAAAGGAAGGTTATGGGTACAAGGAAAGCTAGGGACAGAGGGCCCAGACCACATGACTTACTCTCCCTTCAGGTCATAGGTGGCTCCATCCAGACCCATGATCAAATATTCTTTGTTAGGCTCCAAGCGAAGGCGGCAGGAGGCGCGGACCAAAAAGTTGCGGGTCTGACCAGCAGTGGCCTTGGCATCCTTGGCTGAGGGAACAGAAAGACAGAGGCTGTCAGAGGGAAGGAAGTCCAGGAGAGGCCAGGTCAGGGGCTCTGCATAGACCCTGCCACCGAACCCACGCTGCCCCTGACAAACGGAGCTGTACTCCCTGTTTATGGGCCCGAGCTCTCCAGGCCAGGTGGTGGGAGGCTGGGGTGGGGTGATGGTGTGATGTGCACTCAGACTTGGACTTTTCCTGATTTCAAGACACCAAGCCCCACACCCAGACCTTGGCCTCCCCAGCCCGCCTATCTCTCTAGCTCCCTTCCTACTGAAATGCAGGACTTGGGTGATCTCAGTCTCAAAGAGGCGGAAGGCAGCTCTGCCATCTTCTCGGAGAACTTTAATCTGGAAGCCTAGGAGGAGACAGGGAAAGGGAGGGAAGTTCAAGAGGAGTGGAAGTCAGGGTCACAGATAAGGAGGCACTGGTAGGCCTGGGGGAAGGGCAGGGAACCTAGAGAATCCAAGGTTCTGGACCCCGGGGGACACTGACCGTACTCCACTCGGGGGTAGTAGCAGGCAAACTTCATCCTGTAGCCATCCTCGTCCTGCACCCCTCGCTCCAGGGCACGCCGCTGCCGAGGACACTTCCCTACAGTCAAGCCAAGCGTCATGAGACCAGCCTGGCCTCCCCCAGCCATTTTCCCAGCCACACCCCAGGCCTCCTCTCACCCTCTGCACACTGACAGACATCCGCGGAGCACAAGGTGGATAGCAGTTTGCTCTTACTCGGTGCCGAATAAAACACAGAACACTTATGATCTGGAGACAGACAGAGAGGAGTAAGGACCCAGGCCCCTTCCTGCCTCTGCATCCCGTGGGGACCCCGGGATGTCTGCCACCCTCACTATGAGGGCTCATGATGTCCCAAATGAGGGGCTCAGCGCCAACCTCCCCTGCACACCAGAGCATCATTGGTGCTCACCAGGGCTGTAGTAGTCGTAGAGGACTGCGCTGGCCGGCTGCACCAGCCCCACCGCCACCTCCTGCACCGCTCCAAAGCCCACGCACTCCCGGGTGGTTGGGACCTGGTGGGTTGGGGGTGAGGGGGTAAAGGCTGCTCAGGGCCGGGTCACTGGCTGCCTTTTCCTGTCCTGTTTCTGGTTGATTGCCCTGATCTTATCTTTAGCATCCTTCATCTTCTCTGACCTTCTTGTCATCAGGCTCTAAAGACCGATGATGACTTCACTGCCAAGATGGTGACCTTGTCCCTGTCTTCAGTGCCTGCAGCCCTTGTAAATTCTCCAAGGTCCTCTGCCTATTCCCAAACCACCCTCCCAACACCCCATCATTACCACCCATAGGACACCTGCTATAACCTGAGGAGATTTGCTCTTCATAACAGATTCAATAATCCCAGTGCCCTGGGGTCCTACAACACTTCTCCCCACTCACCGAGTCGAAGTACAGTAGGACGTGGGGCCCGTCGGTTTCAAAATGACTCACGTAACGGTCAGAGAGGGAGGTCAGCTGCAGGGAAGGGGAGAGAGTCACAGGTCAGGGACCTGGGCATTGCCTGTGACTGGTCTCAACACCTAGGTGGGATGGACATGAGCAGGGCTCCTAAGGACAGAGGGATGGCTGTGGGTGACTGACGGCACCTTCTCCAGGTCGGCCCTCAGGGCGTGGAATCCACTCAGGAGGGTGATGTCTGCAATGGCCATGCCAGAAAGCCCCACCTTGCCGTTACGCCTGGGGGGAGGGGACCAACTGAACAGGTTCCTCCTGTGTGACACCCAAAAGCCTGGCCCAGTGTGGGCCTGCCACCCCAGACCCCCAGGCAGCTCCCACAGCCCACCAGATGCACACGGTGTACTGCACTCTGGACTCCTGCTCCTCAGGGGTCTTGGGGGCCTCCCTTCTGCGGCGGCTCCTGCGACCCTCAAACAGCTGCAGGGGCGTGACGGGCTGCGGGAGGGCACCTGGGTCGTCTGCAGCCGGCACGTCCTCATATTCATAGTCCTCATAGTCCTCTTCTGCCTCCCCTGTGCACGGTGGTGTGTGAGGAGGCCCTCAGCCAAGTCGGCCCCACAGGGCTCAGGGCCTCCCCGCACCAGCACTTACTCGTATACTCCACATGGCCTACGACTGTCACATCAATCTGAAGGTTCTGGCAGGTCGTGTTCTTCATGCTCAGGACATTGTAAGTACGAAGGACCTGGCTCGGCAGCAGATGGGAACAGAAAACAGGACATGGGGGGCGCAGGCTGAGGCATCTCCCTAGGCTGAGGACCTGAGGTCCCAACCCTTCCCATCCCCCTCACTTCAGGGGCTCCAGAGGGGGGGCTGCTGGGTAAGACACAGAGAGCAGTGAGGAGGCAGGGCAGAGAGGCCAGCCCACCAGAAGGGGCACAGGAGGATAGAAAAGGAAGTTCTGGAATGGCCCCTAGCCAAGACTTGAAGGAAGTGAATGACGGGGCAGGAATTAGGGGAAGGGACTCAGGCAGGGACATCTGTGAAGATGAGAGGGCTGGCTGCAGAGATGGGGTGGACAGGGCACAGCTGCACAAGCCACAGGGCAGTGGGTAAGACTGCCTTTCTTTTTTGTGAGGCAGGGTTTCATTATGTAGCTGGCCTTGAACTCACTATATAGATCAGGCTGGCCTCAAACTCATCCTCCTACGTCAGTCTCCTGCATGCTTGGGTTATAGGCCCACACCTGAGAGGCGTGAGTTTTACATTTTCCATTTGCTTGTTTGTTTGAGAAAGGGTCTCACAGGCCAGGATACCCTCGAACTTGCTATGTAGGAGCGCCAGCCTTGAATTCCTGATCCTCCTGACTTTACTTTCAAGTGCCAGGATTCCAGGTGTGTGCTGCCCACCAGGAAGTCCCACTCTTTTCCAGGCTGATCTGACTGATACTTTGGAAAGTCAGGCTTGCTGCCCATGTAGACAGCAAACCAGAGGGGTCACATGAGATTAGCGCCAAGCTGGTCTTAGCTAGTGACCTAGGACACAACTGGCAGCAGGAAGCAGAGCCAGAGTCCCCTGGATCAGAGGACAGAGGCCACTGAGACAGTCTCTAGAGCGACGGCCAGGCTCCTGGGTGGAAGGGAGACACGGCACATAGGAAGAAAAAGGGTTCAGAGACCTACCACATCTGAGGTACTGTAGAATGTGCAGGGCCTATGGACAGGGGACAGGCCTGCACTGAGGACCAGGATGTGGAAGTAAAGGAAACAACAGGTGACCAGACATGGGGGAGACCAGAGCAAGGGTGAAGGCCCAGGAAGGAAGCAGGAGACACAAGCCCTACCCACAAGGCCAGGCTCCCAGACTCCTCTGCCCAGAGCCACCCCTCCCCGCCAGCCCAGACCAGCCCTGCTGTCCACCAGCCCTGCTGTCCACCTGTCCCCGCCAACTCCACCCTGCCCCAGCCTCACCTTCAAGGTGCCCTTGCTGTTTCCTCCCACAGTCACACTGATCTTGTTGCTCAGGGAGAACTTTCAGGAGGAAAAGGGAAACAGTGTCAGAAGGGCACAGGGAAACTGGTTTGCTCCTCCCTCAAAACAACCCTATCATAGCTCCTGTCCACAGCTGACATCTCTGCTGTAGCACCTCCCTCCAGACGCCTGACCCTGGGGTGGGCTCTGCAGATACGTTGTTTTATGGGTGAGGAGAGAAGAGCCCCGAGGTTTGGTCACCCAGCCAGAAAGCCGGTCTTCCCACACGGCCTCAGACAGAGGGCTGTGAGAGCAGGAGCGAGCAGAGGCATCTGGCCTGGCCCAGGCATGGACAGCCCCATGGGGAGTGAGAGTCACCTTCAGCTCCTCCTCTAGCCCCTTGACTTGGTGGTTGTTGAGCTGCAGCACGTAGGACTTGAACCCGCCACGGGCCATGGAGCTGAGGGTCACGTTGAGTGCCTTCTCCTCAGTGGTGTGAGAAGCAATCCAGTATGCAGATAGGGCGTCCAGGGCAACCACTGTGTCCTGAGGAAGTCGGGCTGGGAGTCAGGCACTCAAGCTCAGGACCGCCTACCCCAGACCCTGTGGCTGCCCCCCTACCTGGGTGCTGCGGAATGCCCCTTCGAAGCTGCCCTGGTGGGTGAGCCAGGCTGCAGCCCTGTCTGCCGTAGCCTTCTCGCCCTTCCGCAGCAGCAGGTGCAGCAGGCCATAGGCTGTGGTTTCAATCCACAGGGCTGGTGCCTGGGGCACGGGCTCTGATGGGATGGGAGAGGCCGGGGTGGGTGACACGACGTTGTTCTGAGAGCCAACGACTGCGCCCCAGTACAGGTTTTCTGGAAGAAAAGAGAAGGGACCCCTCAATTGAAGGGGAAGCTGAGGCCTGGCTCTCTGTCGCCCCCTGTCGGGATCTCCTGGTTCTGCTCTGCAGTCGTGAAAAGCACTTTTCATTTCTCCCTCAGTCCCGTCTGTCTCCCACCCAGGAATCCCAAGGGCCCCTAAGCCCCAGGCTCCCTGCCAGGGTGCCCTTGTCCCTCACCGCCCATCTCCTGGGCCATGGCCATCAGGTTGTTGTGGGCAACATCCCGCAGATCCTGGGAGGCCTTGGTCAGCGACAGGGCATAGGCTGTGATGGCGGCTGCATGGGCCCCCAGGAGCCCCTCACTTGCCTTATTCCCCAAGAATGAGTTTGCCTTTGAGATGGAGGTTTCCTAGAAGAGAGAGAGGAGGAAGTCCTGAGGCCCAGACGCCTGGGTTCCTAGAACAAGGAGGCAGTACCGGGGTCAGGGAAGGTCAGAGGTGTGGGTGTCCTTACTACTCTGCTCCTCAATGGCTCAGCACTCCCATCCTGGAAGACAGCTAGCCCATGGTGAAGGGCGATGACCACAAAGGCAGTGAGTGCCACGGTCTCATCATTTCCCACCAAGCCCCCCTAGTGAAGGAGAAGGAGGCGTCAGCCAGGAGTGGCGGAGGCAGAGCCTTGTTTCTGACCCGCCTCAGCAAACCTCCCGCATGCCCTGCCCTACCTGCATGCCTCTGTGGATGACTGGACAGGGGTCATGGAATGAGCCATCCCCCAGCTGCTGTGACAACAGCCAATTGGCAGTCTCCTGCAGCTTTTCAGGGGAGCCGCCCACCTGCTCCTGGGCCAAACTCAGAATCTTCAGCACAAAGGCCGTGAGCCTGGAGGGGAGGAAGGGGTGGCTGGGGACAAGGCTGGGGCCCCACTGCCTCAGCCTCCTGGTTTATAGTACCCCCATAGCCCTGAGCCCTTGTGTGTCCTCACCAAGTGCTGCTGGCCCTGCTTATCCAAGCCCCGAAGGAACCATCGTCCTTCCGAAACTGCTGGATCCTCATGTAGCCTGAGAAAGAGGAGGCGGCTGCGGAGAAGGCTGGTGCTCTGCTCTGTACCCCGCTTCCCTCCCTAGCCTCCAGGGATACCCATCTTCCACTTCTTGCCCTCCCTGGTTCCCACTCCTGCTCCCCTGCATCCGGAACCTTTCTGGATCAGATCAATGGCATGGTCCTTGGTCTCGGGGGGCAGTTTGCTCCACTGCTCTGTCTGGTCTAGGTAGTGGGAAGCAGTCAGGGTCGGGGCCAAGTAGATCATGGTTTGCTCCGCACAGCCCCTGGGAAGCCTCAGGAGGGAGGCTATGCCTCCCGGGGACAACGCGCCCTCAGAGCCCAAAGTGTCCAGAGGATCAGAAGCTATGACAGAAGGAAAAGTAGAAGGTGAGACGGGGTCTGAGGCCCCAGTGTCAGGGGGCTTCACGTGGACCCAGGGTGCCCCCAGGAAAGGTCTGGATGGCATACCCACCTGTGACCCTGACAAAGCTGCTGAAATCTCCGTCAGGGACCATATTGGGATCAGAGCTGCCAGGAATTTCCAAGGCCTGGCGTCCATGCTCTAGGGAGTTGGGAGAAGCTGGTCGTCTGTCCTACTGTCCCCATTCCCTGTGTCCCCATAACTGACTTAGGGAAGCAGCTGGGGGCAGGAGGACTCACCCATGGGGTTGAGTTCATAGACCATCTCTTCTCTGTGGAGGGCCCCTTCCTTCTGTCTCAGTGGAGATATAGACATGAGGGATCAGCCAGGTCTATGCCTGCTCCTCCCCCCACCCCCACTCCAGTGCAAATGCCTCTGGGACTTTGAATTTAAACTTCAAGGCCAGAGACAGGGACACGGCTGGCTTGCCTGGCATGCATAGGGCCCTGGGCTTAATTTCCAGTACCACAAAAATACAGTAAAATTCAAGAACTTGAGGGACTGCCGGGGGTGGGGGGGGGGTTGCACATCTGTAACTCCAACAGCTCCGGAGGCAGAGGCAGGAGGATCACTGAGAGTCCAAGATAAGTTTGAGCTACACATCTAGACTTGGTCTCAAAAGAAGCTAAATAAGTAAATAACTTCAGGGGCACAACTGAGTCACAATCATAGCTGTAAGGTGACCGTTACCAGGGTCTGAGTGCAGGGCCCCTGGCTTGGCCACAGAGTGCTTCAGGATAGAGCTGGAAGCCCAGGGAGTGGGTTCAAGGGTGGGCACTCACCTCAATCTGCAGAACTTTAGATACTGCATCCCCCACAAGGAAGTCTATGGACCCTCGAGCCACCACCTTTATGGGCACAGCAGCAGCAGCCATGGGCACCACAGAGAAGGCGATGGGCCTGGCGGAGCCTGCAGGCACCAGCACCTGCTGGGCCAGCCCTCCACCACCGGCCAGGCACAGTCCCTCCACTGGAGACACGTGGACACTCACCTGGGGGGCGGGAACACATGGATGGCCAGAGCCCCCAGTCTATGTCAAGCTCCTCCCTCACCTGAAATGTTCCCAGCTGCGCCTATCCCTACTCCCCATCCTGTGTGCTCAGACTCCCACAGTCTCACAGTCAGGTTCGTATTCAGGTAGTTGTAAAGAACCGGCCGTAGTTCAATCTGCTCAAAGCGGTGGACAGAGATGGGCAGGCGCAGGTGCATGTGGAACTCACGGAACACTTGGACACGGGTTGGTGTGGCCACACACAGGCCTATTGATGGGGCAGAGACAGGATGTGGTGGGGACAGGTGAGGGGGGACATCAAGACCACAGGTCACAGGAAGGGTCAGGAAATAACCTGGCTCTACCCTCAGCTTGACCCCCTGGCTCTCTGTCTAAGGCCAGGGGCACGCCAGCATAGAACCCCCAGATCTATCCCACACCTCCAGTGTGGGGAGCAAAGGGCTAAGCAGATAGCTCAGGTTAAGAAGAACCAGAAGACAGGCAACCTGCGGCCCAGGCAGGGCCACCCCACCTTTGGTTTTGGACAGGCTCACAGCATGGATCTCCCATGTGGTCAGAGAGTCAGGAAGAATCTGTGACAACCTACAATGGGAAAAGTACAGAAGTCCTGCCACATGCTGGAGCTGTCTCCAGACCCAGCCGTGGGACAAGGCCGGGCGCTCACGTTTTGGAGCGGTCCACGGTCTCCACTCTCCAGAGCCAGTTCTCTGGGAAGAAGCTACGCACAATAACGTCATCTTCGTGGATCAAGTCCTCCTCCTGCAGCACCTCCAGGGCTGGGGACCACAAGAAGAGGGAGCGAGGGGGGTGTTCTTCCCCAGGAGAGGGAGCGAGGGGGGGTTCTTCCCCAGGAGAGGGAACGAGGGAGGTGTTCTGCCCCAGGAGAGGGAGCGAGGGGGGTGTTCTTCCCCAGGAGAGGGAACGAGGGGGGTGTTCTTCCCCAGGACAGGGAACGAGGGGGGTGTTCTGCCCCAGGAGAGGGAACGAGGGGGGTGTTCTGCCACAGGAGAGGGAGCGAGAGGGGTGTTCTGCCACAGGAGAGGGAGCGAGAGGGGTGTTCTGCCCTCGCAGGTTCCACTGCCTGACCCCTGCTTCCCCTGGCCACTCACCTCGGGCGAGGCCCTCCAGGCCCTTGGAGCGCTTCTTCTTACGCAGGTTCTCCGCAAACTGGCAGCAGGACAGGAAGGGCTCCCGGCAGCCCAGCGGCACACGGGCCGCCCGCTGCTCACAGGTGCGTTTCATGGGCAGCCTGGTGAGCCCGTCCTGGCAGCAGCGCTTGGCGGCTGGGGACGCATACTGGCCCACTGCAGGGTCAGCACGAAGGAGCAAAATCTCAGTCCCTCCCCACCAGGGGAGGGTTCAGCCCCAGAACTTGGCTCCCTGGTCCCCAACCATAATTGGCTCAACAAGGCGAGGAAGAGAAGAACGAGAAATCCCCACCCTGACCCCAGACACAGTGCACAGCTTCTCCTGCACCTACAACTCACACTTCTCACTGATGGCCTTTTGGAAGTTTACATTTCTCTTTGACCGGCTTTTCTTCTCCTTGGGACAGCTCAGGCCTGGTAGAGAAGAGGGTAGGCAAGCCACTGGGCACTCAGCCTCCCCCCCCCTCCCCTCCCCTCCACCCAGCCCTTCCATCCCTCTAATCTTGTCCCCCACCCAGCCTATCTTCCTTCCTTATCTGTCCCCACCGGCTCCCTTCCTGCCTCCCTTCTCACTTTCTCTGGCCAGGGTTAGCTGGTCTCCATCAGAGAAGGCCAGACCGGCTGCCCGGAACACCTGAAGGGCGTTGTCGCCCCCTCCAGGACCGCAGCCGAGGTTGTAGCCATTCATTACTTCAAAGACCTAGTAGGCAAAAAGCAGAGATGCTGGGAGTCAGGATCCACCAGGCAGCAGGAACAGAGCACAAAGATGTGGACTGGAGAACTAGAGACCACGGGCCACAGAAGGGGTGGGCAGGGTCCAGGGTCTCCAGGAAGACTGGGAGGGGCCTGCGAGACCAAGTGAGAGCTGGGGACTGAGCTCAGAGCAAACTCAGAGCAGGAAGGAAGGGAAGCATGGCGGAGCAGGGAGGGGGCTTGACACACCTTGCCCATGTTGAGGGGTTTATGGGACCTGCCGCCCACAGCGTACAGCGCCATGTCCACAGCTCCCAGTGCCACCAGGGCTGGGGAGTCCGTCTGTAGGTGGAGCTTCATGAGATCCCCATCACGGTACTTCTTGGTACCATCCACCTTCAGCTCCAACTGGGAGAGGTGGGAAGTGAAGGGCAGTTCAAGGGTGAGCAGGCTGGGGAGATGGCTCTGGTTAATTCATTTACCCAGCAACTGTAAGGACTGGGATTTGAACCCCCAGAAACCGGGAGGGTGTAAGGACCCGTCTGTAATTCCAGCCTCAGAAAGTAGAGATGGGATCCCGAGAACGAGGTGGCTAGTGAGACCAGGCAAACAGGGAGCTCTGAGTATGACTGAGAGACCCACCTCAGTAAGAATGAAGAGCAATGGAGGATGACGCCCGACATCAGCCTCAGGCCTCCAGGTACACACACATGCACACACCACACATACATGTGCCCACACACATGCAAACACACTCACAGACACACAGACACACACACCACCTTTCCATCCCCAATCACCTTGCCCTCGCAGGCCCCGGGCTGGACGTCCACACGCAGGGAGTTGGCCACTGGGCGTCCTTGATGATAATAGAAGGCTACAACGTAGAAGGAAGGTGCCAGGTGATGATCCACCAACACGGAGATAGAGGTCAGCGTCCTCCTGGGCTCCCGACTCACAGCCATGATCTGGCCTCGGGACAGGATCTGAGCCAAAGAGGAGCAGTGTGTGGCTTCCTGGGTGTAATCTCCCCAGCCCTGCAGGGGGCAATTCCCTGTACCCAGCCCTCAGCTACTCCCAGCCCCACAGACCATGTAGTAGTAATGAGAGAAGGTGGCCCTGAGGATGCCCACAGTTTGCAGGTTGAGTCTCAACGTGTCCCCGACACGAGGGGGCCGAAGGTCCAACCGCTCAATGGACAGAAAGCTGGAGCCTCCCAAGGGTGGGCCTTGCACGGTGAGCCTGGCTACATCTGGGTAGTGGGAGCCTGCAGACACCTGGAGAGGGGGGCAGGGTGTGTGCCTATATATGCCATCCCTCCTCCCAAGCTAAGCCAGGAACACCCCCCACACCACACCCCCCACCCCCACCTC